CTTTTTGTTTTATTTCTTTTGTAGGTGTGGTGGGTTTTGACTTTATTCTCTTATTTTCTAATTTTTTTTTTCAGAATGCCCATGACAATATTATATGTGCTATTGTTTACAATGGGCAGTACCTCTTCACATCTTCACATTCTTGCATTAAGGTAGCCTTGTTGAATCTTTTTAAATCATTTGATTTTATAAATTTCTCACTTCTGCTTTTACCTGTAATGGTCGTTATTTGATAAAATGTCTCATCTTTAGGTGAAAGACTTCTCTAATAGATAAATTTTTGGCTATCCAACTGGCCAATGGATTCCATGTTGTTTTGAAACTGTTCAGTATAATTATAATAGATGATTGATGACATAAGATGAGACAAGAACAAAAAAGTTACACATGAGGCACAGCCAAAAGTGTTAGTATCATTGTCAACATGGAATCTATCGATATTTGTTTTATTTACTAAAGAAGCAAAATGATGTCAATAGTGATGTTGATCATGGATGATAACCAATCAAAATGTACGTATAAATCAGCTTATTGTATAATCTGAAAATTTTACAGGTTTGGGATGCTTCTAGTCTGGAAGAAGTACATGAGATGACAGACCTTCATCACTGGGTCCGAGCGCTGGCTTTGGACGCTAAAAGAGTTAGTTTTTTCTTATTTTTGTTGCATATAGAGCGTATTTTGACCGAGAGTCTTAAATACAGAACGGAAGTAATCACGACAGCCAATCAGAACAAAGAAAAATATTGCAAAAAGCCTATGAGAACTCAAAGTTAAAACAAGCAAATTACTTGAAGCAGGGGAAAACGCAGGTAGCCAAATCGTAATCCGTTTTGGTTTTGAATCTGATTGGTTAAGAAAGTGGAAAAGTCAGTGAGGACCAATCACATTATTACGTGATATTTCTTGGTCGGCGTGTTTTAAGAATTTTTTAGTTCGATCCGAGTAGTATATAAACTAAAGCATATGACTTTCTCAATTCTCATAACAACTTTGCTTGTCACTGTACTGGAAATCAGAGGAGACTTTTCATGCCGATCATTCCTTGGTTTCAAGTGTACTTCAATTTAAGTGAAAAGTTCAGTCTCAATTGTCAAGTTGATGTTTTCTGTTTATGTTTTCAGGAGAAGCTTTACAGTGGATCTCACAATGTAGTCCACATATGGGATGCCACAGGCTCGTTTGATCTCCGAGGAACCATCGATCACTCTCTGGGCTCTGTGTATTCGTTGGCTGTCACTAAGCACTTTATTCTTGTTGGTGAGTTTCCCACACTCGTTATGGTGGTATATAATCGTAATTTTAGTCTTAAGTTCGGACGTGGAAAATTACCTTCAACGTGAAAAAAAGCAAGAAAATATTAATTTGGCAATATAAAAAAAACAAAGAATGGAAAGAAGGATTAAAATAGGGATGAGAATTGCAAACGAAAAGATGTCTAATTATACAGTTATAAAGGAATCTGTAACTTTTGGGGGAAAGGAAATGAACCCAGCTCTCCTTTTTTCTCTCTTCTAGTCCCAGGCTGGTAATTTACTGATCAAACTTTGTTCATGTTAAAGGTCGATAATGCATAAAATGTTTTTATTATGGAAGACATTACTCCCAGTCAATAATTGCCATTAAAAGCGTATCTTCTCTGCATAAACACTACTATAGTTCCTAGAGGAATCACCTTCCCTTTCACTCTCTCTCTTAGGTACGTACAACCAGAACATTCACGTTTATGATGTAAACACCTACCAGTCCATCAAGGCTCTTGTTGGTCATATTGGCACAGTCACGGGATTGGCGCCAGCAGTGACGGGAAAGCTGTTGTTCTCGGCCTCCTACGACACAACAGTACAGGTACAGTCACGTGGTATCATTTCGTTCGTTTAGCTATAAAGAGAATGATCCGCTTTATTCCTCACTCGTCAGACTTGGGCGCATGCTCCTAACTGGCAGGATCAGCAGCTGTCACGTGCCCTCGGAACTCCCTTAATAACCTGTCTTAACCCACTCACTCCCAAGATCTGATTATTAATTCTCTCCATAGCTGCTACTCAATTACCTCTAAATTAGTTGTGAGAATGTGGTGTTGGAGGAAGATAACAACTTCTACCTGATATCTTTGAGTATTCTCATTTCCTGTTTGCTGGATAATATATGGATATTATAGGGAGAAGTTACATGTTGATCAACACTTGGAACTAAGGCTGGGTTTAAAATATTCTCAGTTCAAGATTCCTGGAGTATCGGGGTAATTTTTGTTTTCTATCAGGTGTGGAATCTGGATACTATGTTACCAATGCAAACACTCTCAAGACACGAAGGGAGCGTCAACTGTGTTGTTATTCATAAAGATATGCTTCTGTCAGGCTCAGAGGATATGGAGATAAAGGTATGTTTATTAGTGCTATTATTTTGAGACTCCGTTTGAGAAGGGGCTCTTCTATCAGTTACAGGTGATTTAGAATTTGCATACATCACAGTTGAAATGTGACTCTAGAAATATTTTATAAGCTGTTTGCATCACTGCTCTGCCTGTATGCAACGCTGATCTATCGCGGGCTACTTCCCAGCATTTCGTTAGATCCCTTCGTCAGGTCGCTGGTGACCTCTTACTACAGGCTGGAGAAATGTGCTATCATAGTTTGGTGTATTGCGAAGATACATGTAAACAACCGCAGTAACCACCCCAAACACTCAAGCCACAGTTCAGTCCCTTTCCAGTAATTCGCAACTGTTTTAATTTTTCTTTCTCAAGGTGTTCAAGTACTTCAAAGCGGAATAAACTCTCGACTCGTCTTCATCGTAGTCACCATCATCAGCAACAACAACTGAAACAAACGTAACCCTTTCACTGCCAAGATCTCATTAATAATTTTCCTTACTGTCTGTCGCACAATTCTTGTGCTGTTAGTTCGGGGAATTTGATATTAGCTCAACTAATAATCCCCCAATTGAAATTCTTCTCACCTGTCTACTTGATATTGTGTCGGCATTGCAAGGAGAAATTATGCCTTGGTAAGTCATGGGAGTCATAGCGTTCACATAACTTGACAATATTATTTTCATAATTTATTGTTGTAGCAGTAAGACACAACGTCGCTTTAAACGCGAAATGAATTATTACACTCCCGTTAGTGCTTGGAAAATCGAAGATGAGACCAAAGACGGGAGCTCCCGTCAACATCGTTCACAATCTTTTGTTTTTGCGTTCAAACATTCTTGAAAAAAACAACGGGAAAGTTTCCTGGCCAGTCATTTTAGATGGATTTAGATAAAATCGTTAGGACCAAAACATTTAAAAAAGAAGTATGTCGGGTTCTCCAGTATCTTCTAACAACAAAGGTTTTAATTTTAATTCAGGCCTGTTTTAACAAAGAGATTTCGGTGACTATCAGAAAAGATGATGAAAACTGTTCACCGAAAGTTACTCGATGCGTTTTATATGAATAGCATCTTTTATGTTATTTTTTTAATAAATATGAATTTTGTGTGAGTTATTTGTATTGCGTGTCTTGATTTATTTTTTTAGCTCAAAGGACGGTCCAAAATAACGTTAAAGATTACGGAAAAGATTCAAATGACCGTCTTGAATAATCTTTCCTCGCTCGCCTCATCTGTTTATCCCAGACTTCGCGCGGACATTGAGACAATAAGGGGCACTCAGCACTAGGCATAAAGTAATCAAAATCAAACTATGGGAACCTGAAGAGTAACCATGAAAACCGTAACTCGGAAACGCAAAGGGCGTCTTTGCATGGGTTTAACATTCACGTGATGTCGAGGTAGCATTTCATATCTCGAGTGTTTGGGTCTCCTTGTTGTAACAAAGTGCGTTTGGAATGAGAGTAAAATCTTGTAGAAAAACTCATCAAATTCCAAGACCATTGCAAAGAAGCTTAAAATTTGATCCAGTTTGAGAAACGCAAAGTCAACTAAACAATGACAACACAAGCAGCTAATTGACTTCTTTTGATATCGATCTTTTCGACATTAAGAGCTCTTTCTGTGACATCAAAAAACATGCCTTCAAACAATTGAAGTTCTGTACGCAGAGCCGTAAGACTTTGGAATGCTTGTAACTCACTGAACCCTAATAATAAACTCTGCTTGAAACTGTAGTTAATTTACGGAAAACTGCGTAGGTTTAAATTCTGATGTATGGCTCGACAACGGATGTGGCATTTCTTTTATTCGTTTTCCAAACGGGTGAGAAAAAACAAACGAAACTTGGATCAGTGCTAATTGTAAGAGATAAATATTCATTTTAGGGGTCCCTTTGTTCTTTTGCCTTGCCTTGACACATTCCGTAATACAACTGAGGTTTTCCTGTCATGGGAAAGACGGAAACAGTCCTTAATACTGTTCGCTTCCAATTGTCAGTTAACCTATTAGCTTCGTGCTAAGTGTCATATTTATACTTTTCAGAACGGCCTGTTTACAAATGCTCACTTAATTAGTTTGCTCTGTCTATTGAGTGAAGGCAGTTCATATTCAAGTGATTGTTTCCTCAAAAAGAGCGTTAATCCATTTTCCTTTAATGTAGGAAAAGCGAATAAAGGCCTCTATGCGTTCATCTCTAAAAACTGACTACTGGTTCATGGTTGCAGAGTTGGCAAGATTTGATGATTCTGCTGACAACATTTCCAAGGAAATTTCGGCAGGAATCGTCCGACGCTAAGCTTTCAGATCGTTGTGTCTATTAAATAAAGCCAAACGTGATGTGTAAACGAACTTTGAATAGAAGGCAGCAGAATAAGCACCCCCTCGAGAGGTCGCTCTGTTGGCGCTATTACTTCAGTTAATTAAAATAGTGCTTAGTTTGTACAACGATTTAAAAGACAAATACTGGAGCACGCTAAATATGCGGGACTTTTGAATTCGTCGATTACGTTTCACTTGGGAATACACACATTCAAACATGCTTAATAGCGACACCTTTTGTTGACGTGGCAACCAAGAGTTTATGAATCGTAACCGGTCCTTGAGCTCTTTCAGTTTGAATCTGTGAGCCGTACAGAGCACTCTAACATCTAAGACATTACTTAAGAGAGGTAATCGAGACTAAAACACTTTCAAAATGCGTGAAATTGTTCATATGCAAGCGGGCCAGTGTGGAAATCAAATTGGCGCTAAAGTAAGTACTGAGACTCGCCTTTTGAAAACATTTTGTAGATCTAAGGCTTTGTAGTCATTCAATCAATGCAGTTTCTGATAAGGTCTGGCTCTATTTCAGTTCTGGGAGGTCATCTCAGATGAGCACGGCATCGATCCAACAGGAACCTACCACGGAGATTCCGACCTCCAGTTGGAGAGAATTAATGTTTATTACAACGAAGCTACGGGTAGGGAATGCTAAATTTACTTTGAATTCTTTTGTTTAATTTGTCCGCTACATCATGTTCACGATAGCTGATTTCTATTTGTCTTCTCTTTCTAGGTGGAAAATATGTCCCGCGCGCTGTTTTAGTCGATTTAGAACCAGGTACTATGGATTCTGTGAGATCTGGTCCATTTGGGCAAATATTTAGACCAGACAACTTTGTCTTTGGTAAGTTCCGTTTTAAATAATGTAACAAGCTTAGTATAACAACTTCTCGGGGTCAGTGTCAGAAATCGTATGCATGACACTCATCGGAGAGTGAAAAATACCAACCTGAGGTCGAATTTCATTTTTATGCAACACAATGATACACCAAACCCTTTTCTAGTTTAGCAAAGTTCAAACCAGAGAGATTTAAACTGAAAAAATTAATCTTCTTTTAGGCCAATCTGGAGCAGGGAATAACTGGGCAAAAGGACATTACACCGAAGGAGCGGAATTAATTGATTCAGTACTGGACGTTGTTCGCAAAGAAGCCGAGGGTTGCGATTGCGTTCAAGGCTTCCAGCTTACACACTCTTTGGGCGGCGGAACCGGCTCGGGTATGGGAACCCTTCTTATCTCGAAGATCAGAGAAGAATATCCAGACAGAATCATGAACACATTCAGCGTCGTGCCATCACCAAAAGTATCAGACACCGTTGTGGAGCCTTACAACGCCACACTGTCCGTCCATCAGCTGGTTGAGAACACAGATGAAACATACTGCATCGACAATGAAGCACTCTACGATATCTGCTTCAGAACTCTGAAGCTTACCACACCAACCTATGGTGATTTGAACCACCTTGTATCAGCTACCATGAGCGGTGTAACAACTTGCCTTCGATTCCCTGGCCAGGTAAATGTTAATTTTTTTCTCTCTAAAAATGATGAAAAAAGGCTTGAAATTCTTTAATTTAGAATTAATAGCTATAACTTCAACGTTACAATTATACTATGGTACAAAAATTGGCGCCAAGAACAATTTTCAAGTATCTAGCGGTGGTTGTTTGCTTTTGTGAATCATCTGCGTCGCTTTTTGTTGTTTCGCAACAAGACTGTAAAGGATGTGCTAATGAGGCAAAAATTAAACGTAAATTTCTTACATTTCATCACATCATTTTCAAAAAGTTGCTCGAGCGCAGTATTACGTCACCATGGAAACCATATTTGATAAGTGACATACCAAGCTGAGATGATGATTTGAATGTTTCGAGAACAAAACAAAGTCAACTGCTTATAAGTAATACCCGTGCAAATAACGCACTGGTAAACTACATTTTAATTACCTGTTGTCGTAAAATATTTGCTTAAGTTTTAAAACATTTCATGAGCGTCTCGGCAGGTTTTCTGTGGGTAAAATTAGTCTCGTACCTAGACCTTACACGGCCAAGCGGTTGTAAGTACATTTCAGTTACATTTACATAGTAGGACTGGGTATGAGATTAAGGTGAAATAGCACAGTTTTCCGTTATCCTTTAACCCTTTTGATTTCTAAGGGTGATTAGCATCTAATTTCTCCCTAAAATAACTCCCAGAGCCCTTAAACATAAAGGTCATGAAAATAAGGGATATGGTCACTGACTAGAGAAGTAAAGTCTCCTTTTGACAGCATGGAGAACAGTATGGAGAATATGCATACTGATTTATAAAGGATTAATTGTTAGACTTGGGTGAATCCGAGTTCGAAGACTCTGTAATCATTAACTTGAACATAAATTCAATTTTTTTCGTTATCTTTTCCCAGTTGAATGCTGATCTCAGAAAATTGGCTGTGAACATGGTTCCTTTCCCTCGTCTTCACTTCTTTATGCCTGGATTTGCTCCTCTTACCAGCAGAGGATCCCAGCAATACCGTGCACTCACAGTACCAGAGCTTACCCAGCAGATGTTTGATTCTAAAAACATGATGGCTGCCTGTGATCCAAGGCACGGACGATACCTGACGGTTGCGGCCATGTTCCGTGGCCGTATGTCCATGAAGGAAGTTGATGAACAGATGTTGAACGTGCAGAACAAGAACAGCTCCTACTTTGTGGAATGGATCCCCAACAATGTGAAGACCGCTGTCTGTGATATCCCTCCCCGTGGACTGAAAATGTCCTCTACCTTCATCGGCAACAGCACAGCCATCCAGGAACTGTTCAAACGCATTAGCGAACAGTTTACCGCTATGTTCAGGCGTAAAGCTTTCTTGCATTGGTACACTGGAGAGGGTATGGATGAGATGGAGTTCACTGAGGTAGGCACATCTCTTTTTCAAGATAATTTGGTTTTATTAACCGAATTGATGATGTAAATTAGCCACCGAGAAGAATTTCTTTAGCTAACTGTGCGAGTATTACTTTACCTTACGTCATTTGCATGCCCTGACTAAGGATCAACGCTCGGGACGTCAGCTTAAGAAACTCTTTACGGTGGCCAGTTTATATCATCAACTTGTTTGATAAAACGAAATTATCTTTAAATTTATAACTCTCACTGACACAAACCAACATTTTGTCTTGTAGCTCACCTCCTTTATTTATTTGTCTTTTTTCCCTCTGATTCAACTTGAAAAGCCACTTTATAAGATTTAAAGTCAATTTCTGCTCAAGTAATATTTCTTTGTTTGTGAGGAAAAAAAAACAAAGTATACTTTGACGATTAGGTGAGAAAAGGACGAGGTTGGTTAAAAACTAAATAGATCAACGAAGATTAGGTACTAAAAATTCTAGTCTGACATTAAAGAAATGCGCGAACTATGACCCATAGCATCCTGATCTTTTGGAGGAGTTTGTAAGCATGAGCTTCAGCGTATGAAAAGTTATGTCACTTTCGTAGACTGACACTGAAGTCTATATATTTTTTCTCTAGGCCGAATCCAACATGAACGATCTTGTGTCTGAATATCAGCAATACCAAGATGCCACAGCAGAAGACGAAGGAGAGTTTGACGAGGAAGAAGAGGAAGGAGAGGGCGAAGCTGCATAAATCAGAGAATCGCTTGTTAAACACAGTCGTAATATTTTAATTAATCGACAGGAAGAAACTATTAGATATCAGTCCTTTATAATGAGTCTGTTGTATCGGAACTCTCCCTATAGAAATATGTACATACAATCATATATCGTACTATCGGGGAGAACTTTATTTTAGATTGAAGACAACTTTCTTTTTGTTGTCATTTGCGTCTTTCTCTCCCGACATAGCCCTCCTAAACTCCTCTCACACAAAGCATAGGAGATTCGCAAATGGTGAAGGGAATCTACAGCGGAATTTTCCCTGCAAAATCTTAGTTGATCAGTTGATTTCTTGGCATTCATACCGCGATAACTCGCTACAAAATCTTATTATATGATAACCAGGCCACAAAATCTTGCAACTAATGACGTGGTATATTTTTCATCGGCATTTGTCATTTTGTACTCACACTCTGTTAATAAAATAAAGATCAGCCGAAGTGTTGATTGTAGGTGTTTATGTCAAGTGCAGGGTTGAACACAGACTTATGGGCGGTACCCACATAAAAGCAAATTTTCCTGGAGATTTTCTCTTTTATCTAAATGAAGTGGTCTCAATAAATGCCGGTTGCAAGCAATCTACCGTCGCCTTAGTTTCGTTCCTAGAACTTTCACCGCCAAGCGGTTATATTGGCGACAGTAATCTCGTACCCAGATCCTACCGAGTACCTGTAACTGAAATGTTATTGTTAAAGGAAAGAATTGGCATCCAGCAAGAATTTTCTGTATATGTGTTTTAACTTATTTAAGCATTGGAAAATTAATAGAAATAATATATTACCTTAAGCCATTCAGTAAAAATTATAATAAGCCAGTTGATCATTTCTCATTCCTTTTGGCGGTCTTATCTTACAGGTAGAATTTTGGTCACCTTTTTTTTTTATTGTGGTCGTGAATTTGACATGGAGACAGATGTTTTTACGTAAACTACAATTTTCGGCTAAATATTGGTACATTGCCATTATGTTGCAAAAAGGTGTTTAATTACGAAGGAAAATGACTTCAGTAAGCGTCACCTTTATAAGCGGTGACACACACTTTCCCTGAGAGATCTGAGCTAGTAGCCGCAGAAAGGTATGAAAAAAAAACCCTACAGGAAGGGGAACTCTCGTGCATAGACAACCATGGCGTACGTGGTCTAAAACAAAGATGAGAAATTTATAGGGCTTGGACATTCGTGCCTTGCATGGACAAGACCACAGGCACTCAAAATTCTCGCGCGCGGAGAGACTTTCCGCACGCAGCGAAGAAGAACGAAATGTTATCGTGTGTGGACAGTCATCTCCGCACTTGGACTACACCTATGAACAGAGACAAAACACCGTGCGTGGAAAAGACCAGAAGAACGAAATGTTACCGAACGTGGACAAGAATCTTTGGCTAGTAGAGAACCTATGGACATCGACCAGCACCGTACACGCAAACGACGTCAGGACAATATGTAACTGAATGAACTAGACGAACCTTGCTTTATTTTATTCATTTAGATGTTATTTCTAACACTCGTTTTATTGACTATTTCTTTATTCTCTCCTTTACTACACAAGTGACTGTAACGGGTACTAACTCAGATCTCTCAGGGAAAGTGTGTGTGTCAAATTGTAGTTTACGTAAAAACATCTGTCTCCATGTCAAATTCACGACTACGATTTGAAAAGGGTGACTGAAATTCTACCTGTAAGATAAGACCGCCAAAAGGAATAAGAAATGATCAACTGGCTTATTATAATTTTTACTGAATGGCTTATGGTAATATATTTTTTCCATTAATTCTCCAACACTTAGATAAGTTAAAACACATGTGCCGAAAATTCTTGCTAGATGCCAATTTTCTCCTTTAACAATAACATTTCAGTTACAGTTACTCAGTAGGACCTGGGTACGAGATTACTGCCGCCAATAGGGTCCTATAAGACATCTTTAGCCGTCTGCTTAGCCTCCAGGCAGGCTCTCGGCCTCTTTTCGGGCACAGCCATTATCACACTACCGACAGCCGCTGGTGGAAGGAGTTCTCGAACCCCCGCTGAATATAGGGTTTTGAAACAAAAGTGTGATTGGAAAAATTAATGTTCTAGAATTTGAAGAAAAGAAATAGAAATTCTTGGACCAGTTGTAGCCGTGTAAGTTGAAGAATTCATATTGGATGATAAGTCTGATACAATGACAGCCTATTGTTCCAATCTTGAAAGTTTTTTTCGCAACTGATTTACAACATGTAATGGTGGAGCCCTAAATTATCTGAGGGTGCGCGAAAACGGAAAGTACTATCAGTGCATCCTGTTGTATATCACGCTACATTACGAATTAAACAAACACAATCCAGAACTGAAAATCGTGTCACTCTCTACCTCTGTTAGTTGTGGCAGCTGCAAATTTTTTTGCATCAAATTTTCATGGAATAGTTTTCTAACTTTTTGATTGTCAATGACATCGGTGCGTGAGAATGGAAGGGACTACAGCCCCTTCTCTCCCCTCCCCCCCATTCACAATCTTCCTTCCGCGCGGTCTGAGTCACGTCGGCTTGTCTCTTGCCATCTGAAATACAGATGCAGTTGTGTTGTAGTTTTTTTTGCTACCGATATCCTCCAAAGATCACGAACCTTTTCGGTAGTTTTCAAGATTCATCAGGGGTGGATCAATGGTTCGACACGGGTCTTGAAATGAGAACTTAAAGTTATAGATAAATTATAACAAATAGAAAGAGCACTTATATGAAAAAGATTTTATTTATTTGTTAAACTAGTGTGATCGAACAGGAAATATTACGTTACTCATAAACGCCAAATACTACGGTTGTCATGAACGCCAAATATGGCGCCTCATGCCTTAAATGCAAAAATAAGGCAAACCAAAGCAATCTTTATTGGTCAAACAGTCACTGACCGGCTGTCACGAGAGGCAAATTGTTCGCGCGACCGTTCACGTGACCATCTAAACAGTCCCATGATTCGAGAGAATCCTCAAACTCTTCTAAGTCCGTAATTTCTAAGTTATCAAGACTTGTATCGACTTTAAGATCCTGACATTGTTGATACGTAGAAATTACGTCCAACATACAAGACTCCGCCTGCAAAGAGAAAAAGCGACATTGAAGAAATTGAAAAGTAAGTCCGTCCATTCTTCAAAATCTTAATCATGCATCAAAAACATGAAGCAGTTTCGAGTATCTCTTGCTCATACAAATCAGCTGAACGCAATAATCAATATGTAACCACACCTTCCACTGGTTAAGCTCTTCCTAGGGAAAGGGAAAAGTCCATGTGACCGTCCTTGAGGGGACAAAAGTTGCGCTTTTTGTTCAAAGTGCAAAATTTATCCAGACCTCTAAATTACAGTAGAGCGTCTCTTCGGGACTCATAAAAGTGTTCCCTAAACGTGGAGTATCTCCTTAATTAGGTAACAGATGAAACGAAAACTCCAATCAGGACACACTCAGGATTAGAAAAAGTTCCCTCTTTATAGAATGTCCCTTCGATGACGGTGATAGTAAAATGGAACCTTCATTCGTGACACACCCAAAGCCAGAAGAAATGTGTCCCTAAATAGAGATGTTCCAACCACAGAGAGTGTCCCTGCAATATTTTTCCCCCTCGGAACGGTAACTCAAAAATATTCCCAACACATCAGCGATAGCAATTTAATCAAGAAAAAATTTCTCACCTGTTTAAATTGCATCTCGTCCATTCCCTCCTCAGTGAACCAATGCAAAAATGCTCTCCTGCGATACATAACCTTAAACTGCAGATTGAGTCGTTTAAAAAGTTCTTGTATAGCTGTGTTATTCGCGATGAATGTGGCTGACATTTTCATTCCGTGTGGAGGAACATTACAAACCGCAACTTTAGCATTATGCGGAATCCACTCCACAAAATGTCCGCAGTTCTTGTCCTGAACGCTTTTCATTTGGTCTTCAACTTCCTTCATTGATAACTTTTTGCCGCGAAACATAGCGGCATAGGTAAGGTATCTACCATTTCTAGGATCACATGCAATCATGATGTTCTTAGCGTCAAAAATTTGCTGTGTCAGTTCACTAACTGTCAGATTGCGGAAAATCTGTGACTGCCTGCTGGTCAGCGGTGCGAAGCCAGGCATAAAGAAATGAAGGCGTGGATAAGGAATCATGTTCACGGCCAATTTGCGCATGTCCGCGTTCAACTGGAAAAACAAGTCGAGTTAGGCTTATTCTACAACCTGAATTCAAAGGGAGACGCACTGTGAGGATTAAAATTTCTTTTGCATTACGTCATTACGTCAGTTTTGCTCCACTCTACCAATTAATTGGTCAATAACATTCAAGTCACTTTCTCAATCAATCAGAACAAAATTAAAACCATCTGTGACCAGACAACTCACGCTCTAGGGGCCGCAGGAGGTTTATGTAAGTTCTCATTGGTTCTGCGTGATTTACACAGTACGATAATTTGGTTTGGTTTGGTTTTACTTCACTCTACCGCAAAGCACTCCTTGATCAAAGTAATTACAAAGATCGATCAGAACTAGGGTGAACTTCACATGGTGAAACTGGTGAGAATCCAAAGCAAATATATGTGAACGAGCAAGGTAACAATCCAGTAATGGGTAGCCATTATTTTAATATGGTGTGACTGACTGGCTGAGAAACAGGCGCCAGTATTCTTTACCAATCACAGAACGTAGTAAAAAAAAAAAACTAGCAATTCAATCCCGGACTACTTTTGACACTTAAGGGAACCCGACTTTCTCTATTTGAAGACCTCTTTACACCTTGAACTCACCTGTCCAGGAAAACGAAGACAGGTGGTAACCCCACTCATGGTCGTCGATATGATATGATTCAGATCCGAGTACGTTGTGGTGCCAAGTTTAAGCGTCCTAAAACAAATATCGTATAGCGCTTCATTATCAAACGAGAACACTTCATCAGTGGTCTCAATCAGCTGGTGAACAGCTAGAGTGGCATTATAAGGTTCAATAACAATCTCAGAAACTTTCGGCGAAGGAAAAACACTGATGGCGCTCAGAATCCGATCTGGATATTCCTCTTGTAGATGGTAAAGTATCAGAGTACCGAGCCCAGATCCCGTGCCGCCGCCCAGGGAATGGGCAATTTGGAAGCCCTGGATCGAGTCACATCCCTCGGCTTCTTTTCGCACCGCGTCCAAGACCTCTTCCAAGAGATTGCATCCATTTGTGTAAAAACCTTTCGCCCAGTTATTTCCTGCTCCACATTCCCCTGTGTTAAAAAAAATTAACTTTAGGTTTCTGTATACTCAGTCTACTCTGGGGATAAACGGTGTGTGGGGCACTTCACTATACGAACTACTTACATTAATCCTTTAACTCCCAAGATCTCATTAGTAATTCTCCTTACTGTCTACCACACAGTTCTTGTGATGTTAGTTTGGAGAATTCGGTATTGCATCAACTTATAATCCCCTAATTGATATTTTTATTTATTCTCATCTCTTATCTGGTTGATATTGTATCGATGTTGTACGGAGAAATTCTGTATTGGTCACTCATAGGAGTTAAACGGTTAAGGGATCGGTCATTATTTATCGCCTGGGGGAGGGGGGGGGGAGAGGGAGAAAATCGGAGGATTTTGATTGTGTCACGATAAAATTTTCCTGATCTCTTCATAGGGCTCTTTGATATTTTATGACCTCCCTTCTTATTGGCAGTTAAGTCTGTTGGCGACGACTGATCCCTCCCTATTTCCCCCCTAAAAACCATGTGACCCTCCTCCTCCTCCTCCCCCCCCCCCCCCCCCCCCCGCACCAAAATCATCCGCCCCTGAGGTGATTAATGATAAAGACTGGTCCTTAAGAGCCACTGTCTCTTGAATCTGATTTCCCAGCCGAATAGAAATAGCTTTTATTTTTAAGAGAATCGCAAAGGAAAAACCGGTCGTCATAAAGAAGATAAAAATGGAAAGAGGAATCAGGAACCCAAAGGATTATTACACAAGACTTAATCTTTTCCGCACTTCTAAAAGAAAAAAAAAGCAAAAAAAAAAAAAAAAAAAAAAAGGACGGTGGAGTACGTAAAATTGAATAGTGGCTCCAGTAAGTCGAGAGGTGTGTTCTGACATTGTTACTCATCTCATTTGAGATACGATTAATTTTGATGTCATTTTTGTAACGAGCGTGGGAAAAAAGGAAAACAGAAAATTCTGAGCCCCCCTACGAGGAATCGAGCCGTAGACCTTGAGATTTCACGGCCCGACGCTCTACCACTGAGCTACATTGAATATAGTTTGACGGGGTATTCCCACTTTCACCACGCTTTCATGAAAAACGTCCTGCTTACTGTTAGGTCAGTAATAACGAAAGGAAGCTCAGAAATAATCAACTGGGCCCGTTTAACAGTGTCACAATTGTAACGCGAAATGGCTTGGAATATATTTGTGAAAAAAGGCGTTGTGTTATACAATCTAAATATATCTTCTCTAACAGAGCTTTGAAACTGGAAATCGTACAAACAGCACAATGAAAGAGGTCGTAATACTCAAACCACGGGTCAAATGGAGGCCATAATTAGTTTTAAAGATAAGGATGACTGAATTCTTCCTTGGTTCGCAAGACATTGAACGAGAGGCATGCATGATTTGTTAACACGAGTGTAAAATTTTATTCTGCCGATTGGCTAGTGCCTGTTGTTTCTATATCCAAAAACTGGTTTGGCAAGATAAGCTGCCAAAAGCAGAAGACAACTGTTTCAGCCTCTAAGGTTTATGCCGACATCGTTCAATAAATCTGGATCAGCTGGGTCAATTAGCTTTTTCTTTTTCTTTGTTAATAAGTTATTAAACAACAGTTTATTGATGGGGCAAGACTCCGGGGTATTTAATATCTGTGTTCAATTGGCCGTATCATGCGCGTCTAAGCCACAGCTGATTTGTGTTGAAATTTGGCAAGCACTAAATTTCTCAAAGCAGTTGATCCTATAGAGAAAAAGAAATATTGATACGAAGCTTTTAAAATCGGACGTTTTCTAAAGGATGCCCAAGATTATTAAATATTCTTTCAAAAAGTCTGTACAACAAAAGGTGTCGTGAAGTCTAATAAATTTCCCTACATACTAGCATGTTCTTCGCGGGCTCGTGACGACATGTCGTGCGTTGCAAAACAAAATGCAAATTGCGTCTTTTCTGAAAAAGCTAGTGGTGCGGATGAGAAACAAATTAGCGTTCTTCTCTGAAGATTTTGACAGGTGAACAAAGACAAGTACCGTAAGAAAACCGCTAATTTGAAGCGATTATTAAACGCTTTTTGTTTATGTAGTTTTTTCAAGAAAATTGAGTGAGGAGGAAATGTCAAATGTGCCTATTTGCGAAAAAAATTTGGCTGTAGGCGTTTTAGGAATAGTAACGATAGCAAAATAACAATGCCGGTTAGGAAGCAATAATTAAACGAGACTAACATGATCGTTGCATTCTCACTTCGGAAAGAAATGTATGTATAATATTGAATAAAATGAAGTTTACTGTGAAAAATAACCAAATTTCTCAAAATAAACTAAATTATATTTGTTTTATCATAATACGCTGAGTTTTCGTTCGACAATTCTGAATGAGTTTCTTGCGTCAGCTGGGTCACGCACAGAAAGGCATGAAATACAGAAAGGTTAGCTGCAATTAAACGCACAAAACAGCTGAAGATAGTGGAAAGTTATAAATGTGTGATTTAATTTTGATCTTATTCCTTCAAGTAGTCGATGAAGTCTCAAATTTTAATAACGCAAGAATAAGAGGGGCAATATTGATTCAAAAATGTTTTATCTCTTCGATGAAGTTCCCGTTAATTACACAATCTACTCACATGTTGTAAAAGTGAAAACCAAACTTACCGAAAACAAAGTTATCGGGTCGGAAAACTTTTCCAAACGGCGCAGAGCGAAGCGAGTCCATCGTACCTGACTCCAAGTCGACAAGAACAGACCGTGGTACATATCTACTTTCTACCCGGAAAAAATGAAAGACTCAAAATTAAATACAGCACTATTCAGACTTTTACAGCATGCATCACAGTACGAATTCGACTTGGCCACGATAAGGGAACTTAATAAGAAGTTTTTGATAGCAGAATTACCATTCACTACTCACCAGCACCCTCAGCAAAATAAACATCAATTTTCTCCAACTGGGAATTACAGTTCCCTATGTAGCGTCCTTCTTCGTCTATTCCATGTTCAGAGCAAATGATTTCCCAAAGCTGCGACAAGAGCGGACATTTAGGATTACGAAGTGTAAAATTAAACCACAGACAAAAGAAATAAAGCCCCTTTAAATTTCGTAGCAACACGCAAATTAGTGCCAGAACATCAAACCACCTTGTAACCAATTTGGTTTCCACACTGACCGACTTGGACGTTGATAATTTCCCGCATTACATTGAGAAGCACGAGGCGTCTTTCCCTCGCATGAACCCACAGTTTGGGCTCATTTCGTTGTCGGAAATCAGCCTCTATCTAGCCCGTTCGACCGGACTATTGATAAATCTGCGTCTTGTGCGATAATATCAATAATTAATGTTTTCCTCTATCTGTTCTTTCAAAATCTGTGCGTGAACTAAAACAGGAACCAGAAACCGGTAGGTTTGTTGAATTTTGTCGAAACCCTCGTTTCCATGCCCTAGACACTTCCGGCTGGTTGTTTTCACCCGGGTCTCTTACACTACCATATGTACACTTTGTTTTCCTACTCCCCCTTTCAATCAAAGTCAAACCAACTCAAATATTTAAGAAGAATGTGATAAAAGAAGAGAAAAAAATACTCTCCGCGAGAAGTTCTCTCATCCTTTGTCAAAAGCTCAAATGGAAATTCTGGTTCTAACTAAGAGAGTTCAGCAACTCGGGTGCATTCTTCCTTAAACCAGCGGGTGATATTATATTTTTGCGGGCAACTTCGCTGACGTATGAAATTATATTGCAGTCAGTCGCGAATTGAGTCAAATCTTGGCATTCCTCCGTTCATTCCGTGTATTGGCTCGACTCTCATTCTGTCGATGTTATTGTAAAACGTTTTTGACTTCCTTGCTTTAGTGACTCGTAATTGATTGCAAGCTTACTCTCCTAAATTTCAGGCGCAAGTCAAGACCCGGCCGTGTGTCCAGAAAATTGAGAGCGACTGATGTCCAAACTACCGCGCGCTGCTATTGAAGAGAAAGGATGGGCAGTTCTTTTTTTTTTTTTTTTTGCTCAGTTTATTCTTTCCTCAGCTCAGTCTTCTTCTTTTTGTCAAATATTAAAATTTTTATCAGAGAAAAATGTGAGAAAAAAAGGGTCTCGTTAACTCTTCAGAGGATGAACGAACACAGAAATGCAAACGTTTGGAACTATGCAAGATATCTTCAGCTCCTCTCTGTTCAACTGGAGTCATCCACATCATTCCTCGCGACAGATTAAAAAGTGACTCTTCTTCTGGAATATTTTCCCATACTTTCAGGTTTTCAGGCACTTATCCATAAAAAGTAGCCCAATATCTAGGCTTTTGACATAATCATGAAAATTCTAATATCGCACGAAAACGTATGTTTTGTTCAGTGCTATTGCCACTACTAAGTTTTAACAAATACAGATTCTCTAAGAGTTTCACATGTTACAATAACGGCAATATCTGGCAAATCACGCTACACTCAAATATACAAAAATTTAATTTTCCACAGCCATTAATAAGGTCCTACCGAAACATCTCGTTTCTTCTTTTACGGAAGAGCTGCTCTTAACTTTCCTGGCACATTTGTTTCCAATTCAAATATATTGGACTATATTTACTTTTGCCTCGATGAATCAATACCACAAAAACGCAATTCAAAAATACATCAAACTTTAATAACAGCCCTTTAAGTAATATCCTTTACAGTGAAAACGATCTCAAGAAATAAGAGGAGTTCTTATGCTGCCTCTCCCTCTTCTTCTTCCTCATCAAACTCCCCTTCCTCTTCTGCTGTGGCATCCTGGTACTGCTGATACTCCGACACAAGATCATTCATGTTCGATTCAGCCTAAAGAGAGTTGAAACGTTTGTGGCAATCAAATCCAATTCTCAGAACATGCATTTTAATCTCAGAGCATGCATCAAGTTGTTAAGCTATGATATTTGACTCCTGGATAGAAGGAAACTTTGACAAGTACATGAATGAAATAAGGATGATGACGCATTCTCAGATGATTATACTACACGCACATTGAACTAATTCAAAACGAGTGGCAACTGCTTCGAGAATTTTGGTCTCAAAACGGAGCTCAAACTTTTTTTTCCGTTAAGTCCTTCTTCTCTCTTGATATGATATTTTTCACCCAAGTCAGGACAAAAATGCACATTATTTACTTAAGCTCACTATATCGAATAGGCCCAAAACTAGAAGGTTGCAAACGGGTTTGAAAATTTAAACTATCCAGGAAATGAATAATACAAAAAACCATTGAATATCCCCTTATATAGCGAAATATTGTCATATCACCTCAGTGAACTCCATCTCATCCATACCCTCTCCAGTGTACCAATGCAAGAAAGCTTTACGCCTGAACATAGCGGTAAACTGCTCACTAATGCGTTTGAATAATTCTTGAATGGCTGTGCTGTTACCGACAAAGGTAGCAGACATTTTCAGACCGCGAGGAGGAATGTCGCAGACGGCTGTTTTGACATTGTTGGGAATCCATTCCACGAAGTAGGAGCTGTTCTTGTTCTGCACGTTCAACATCTGCTCATCAACTTCCTTCATGGACATACGGCCACGGAACATCGCTGCAACCGTCAAATAACGTCCATGCCTTGGATCACAGGCAGCCATCATGTTTTTAGCATCAAACATCTGCTGGGTAAGCTCTGGTACTGTGAGTGCACGGTACTGCTGGGATCCTCTGCTGGTGAGAGGAGCAAATCCAGGCATGAAGAAGTGAAGACGCGGGAAAGGAACCATGTTCACTGCTAATTTCCTAAGATCGGCATTCAGCTGGAAAATGTAAGAGAAAAATTCGTTGAAAACTGAAGGTCTTAAGCTGGTTCTGATTTTATAGATGGAGAATTTTACCTGGCCAGGAAATCGCAAGCAGGTTGTGACGCCGCTCATCGTAGCTGACACAAGATGGTTCAAATCTCCGTACGTTGGTGTGGTGAGCTTCAGAGTTCTGAAGCAGATATCGTACAGGGCCTCATTGTCGATGCAGTAGGTTTCATCCGTATTCTCTACCAATTGGTGAACTGACAACGTAGCATTGTAAGGCTCCACAACGGTGTCTGATACTTTTGGTGATGGTACGACGCTGAATGTGTTCATGATTCTGTCAGGATATTCTTCTCTGATCTTCGAAATAAGAAGGGTTCCCATGCCTGAGCCGGTGCCACCGCCCAGTGAGTGTGTGAGCTGAAAGCCTTGAAGGCAGTCACAACTCTCGGCTTCCTTACGAACAACATCGAGTACAGAGTCTACCAACTCAGCTCCTTCGGTATAATGGCCCTTTGCCCAGTTGTTTCCAGCTCCGCTTTGACCTGTTAAGAACAGAAAAAAAAAATACAGCATTATTCTTAATTCATAGTTAGTAATAAAAGTTGGTTGTTACTTTGCTGTGTTACTCAGTTGACTGAACTTTAGATGCTGACATATGCATCCAAGAACGGTACGTTTCCTTAAATAGCGACGTAATAACAGGAAAAAAAGCTTTAATTTTCGTCTTAAAAACTTGCCTCAGTCACTCATATGGCTAGAGACTTTGTACCCTAAACAGGTTAGGGCGTGAGAAGAGAAGTTTTCGTATTGTTTACCCTTTGCGAATATTTCTATTACAGCATTCTTTGATATTATTATTCCTTCCCCCGTGCGCAGATTTAGATAAAGCCTGCTTCTATCTCTTGGCAAAATGTTTTGCAAAATGGCGCCCAAGTTTTAGTCTCAACATTAAAACTTTAAGTGTGTAAGTAAAATGCTGAGAATCTAGCATCAAAATTTTAAAGGCTTCACCTTTTGTTCTTGCAGATTTAAAAGCTAGATAAATACAATGTCATAATCGCAGTTGGTGGGTCAGAATTGGAAGGAATTTTATTTATAAACTAAATACCTGTTTGGCGACTCAGCGGGCTTAACAGGTCGCCATAAATTTTACATGAGATTGAATGAAGTTATTTCCTTAGAGACCACATTTTACTCACCGAAAACAAAATTGTCGGGTCGGAAAATCTGTCCGAATGGACCAGAACGGACTGAATCCATTGTACCAGGCTCCAAATCGACAAGAACCGCTCTGGGCACATATTTCCCTCCTAGAGTTTTGAAAACAAGCAAGTAGTACCAGACTCTGTGTTCAAATGATCAATCTTCAAGGTTCTTAGTGAATGAAAAGCGACAGTTTTCTGTTTTTTACCTTATTCTAAGTAAAAATTGGAAAAAATACCTGTAGCTTCGTTGTAATAAACGTTGATCCTTTCCAACTGGAGGTCAGAATCTCCATGGTAGGTTCCTGTTGGATCGATGCCGTGCTCGTCCGAGATGACCTCCCAGAACTGAATTGAAAGAAAGGCGCAAAAAAGTGACGAGTGAGCGTCTTAAATAAACATGACCATGAATTTACCTCTCCTAACCTTTGCACCAATTTGGTTGCCACATTGGCCAGCTTGAAGATGTACAATTTCACGCATTTTTGGTTTCTCTCGCCTTCACGACACACACTTCAAGGAAAAACTGGTTGTCTTTTGATGTTGTAAAACGCGTCAGTGGTTTCTGACGTATTACATTACCATGGAGATTTGTAATGACTGGCGAATAAACGAAAAGCGCGCGAAAACAGCGTGAGCCGCGTTAAACACGGCGCTAAAAATTAAAGTGAACTTGGAGGGGTTTTCCTGCTCAAATTTTTTCGCTCGATCAAACGTTCTCTTCATGTTAAGCCATTTTTCCTTCTTTACAAATTCCTACAGTTCTCGACTTAAGTATATTCCCAGCTACTTACAGCGTATGACCATGACTGTAATAACTTTAATTGCGCTGTATTGTGAGGATAGTAAACTCTCAAATCGTTTCTACACCGGGTTTGCTTTATTACAAGCCATGGCATATGGGGCGCCAAATCAGTCAATATTCCCTCTGTGTTTCTGTGACTCAGTTTACTTTCTATATGGTGAGTTCGACTTTTTATAAGGTCAACTTTTTTTTTTATATGGTCAACTTTTTACTTTTTATACGGTCAACTTTTTACTTTTTATATCGGTCAGTGTCAAGGGCAGACTGCAGATTTCAGACTGCAGACTGTAGACCGGGAGTTAAGTGTAGACTGTAGGTAAAATGCAGACTGAAGACTGTAGACCAGGGGTAAAATGCTGACTCGGTTCAAAAACGACCCGCTTCCCCGGAAAAACTTTAAGAGTGAGCTGGGATCGAGGCTGCGTAAGTTGTGAGAGGCTGGCAATAATCGTCATGGGGATTGATGTTTCGAACTTCACGTCCTGGTTTTGGCGTTGACATATTGTTCTTGAGGTAAGAACAATTAGAAACATAAGTGTTGGAATATGCAGTTCACAGTTAGCTAAACACATTTCCTCTATTCATCATATAAGGAATAAACAGTTCTGCTGAGTAACATTAGGTTACTTTAACATACATGTAGCTCATGTATAATTTGTGCGGCCTTAAAAGTAGTAGCGATAGACTTTCATTGCACATGGGCAATTTCGATTACTTGGACGATAAAAACCTGTTTCTTGTACCTTCGTTTTGTGCTGCGAAGGTAGGCGTGATTTTGGAATGGTGCTTTGTATCAGAAGCTTCAAGACATTCAACGCTTCGCTCTTGCGCTTCACGATCAGGTCGATACCGCGGTCATAAAAGGTTGATTCTTTTAGAACAGACTCTGCATTTTACACTCAGTCTGCGGTCTGCAGTCTAAATTTTACACTGAATAAAGGGGTAAGTTTCTAAAGATATTAACAACTGGGTTGAAAACGTTAATTAGCCACCGTAAAGGGTAAAAAAGCTGACGTTTCGAGCGTTAGCCCTTCGTCAATCGCACTGACGAAGGGCTAACGCTCGAAACGTCAGCTTTTTTACCCTTTACGGTGGCTTATTTACGTTTTCAACCCAGTTGTTAACACTAAATTACCTGCTAAATTTTACACCGACCGATATAAAAAGGAAAAAGTTGACCATATAAAATTTGAGTTGACCATCTATGAAGTAAAAAGTTGACCGTATAAAAAGTCGAATTGACCACCTAAAAAGTAAACTGGGACACAGAAATACAAAGAGAATATTGACTGGTTTGGCCCCCCTAGCACGCGATAAGGCTGTTTCAGGGCATGAAGACGTTTTAAGATATTCTTGTATTTTGAAAAGGAATATTACACAGGATAAACCTAGAGTAGCCTCTTGCAACGAGTTTTGCTCCCTTTCTACCCTATTACCCCTAGGATTTTTATCAGGGTGGCAATGCATTTTTGGAATGAGCCACAGGAATCCTTCACAAGAACTTATGAGGCACTCCACCCATTGAGCGGCGTGAATGTCGTAGTGGAGCAATTTATTTTGCGCTTCAAAGTGTTACCGTGCAGCCCTACACGATACCTTTCTTCCTCTCTCTCGTATGACGCAGGTCGCAAACGCAAATATTCAGAAAATTTAGAGAAAAGACGAAGATAATTATGTTGCAGGAATTTGTTGTCTTTATTGACCAAAAACCGTTCACAATTTAAAATACGGAAAGACCAGTTTAAATTCTGTTACTACGGAATCAAATTTTCAGAGTGTTTCAAGGTTCTATCTACATTTTATGAAAAAAAAAAAAAAAAAGCTGAAGAGAGGTTTTCAAGTTTAGTTATTTGATAGAACAAAACCAGTGGTTCTACTGAAACGAAGTAAGCAGTTAGAACATCCTGTTTACTTTCTAGATAAGAAAAAGTTCATGTGTTTCCTGCGAATTGTTACTTTATGTCTTCACACAGTTTATGCAGCATCTTCATCTCCAGCCTCTTCCTCCTCGTCAAACTCTCCTTCGTCTTCTGCTGTGGCATCCTGGTACTGTTGGTACTCAGAAACAAGATCGTTCATGTTGGATTCAGCCTGTAAAAGAATTACGCCTCATTAATTGAAGGGAACATTGGTTGTAATATGTTGAAGATCTACGCACAACAGTCGCTCAATTCATTCTCGATCAGCTTGAAAAACAAGATCTTTACCTCAGTGAACTCCATCTCATCCATACCCTCTCCAGTGTACCAATGCAAGAAAGCTTTACGCCTGAACATAGCGGTAAACTGTTCGCTAATTCGCTTGAACAGTTCCTGGATGGCTGTGCTGTTTCCGATGAAGGTAGAGGACATTTTCAGTCCACGGGGAGGGATATCACAGACAGCGGTCTTCACGTTGTTGGGGATCCATTCCACAAAGTAGGAGCTGTTCTTGTTCTGAACGTTCAACATCTGCTCATCAACTTCCTTCATGGACATACGGCCACGGAACATTGTTGCCACAGTTAGGTAACGTCCATGCCTTGGGTCACAAGCAGCCATCATGTTCTTGGCGTCAAACATCTGCTGGGTAAGTTCTGGTACTGTGAGTGCACGGTACTGCTGGGATCCTCTGCTGGTGAGAGGAGCAAATCCAGGCATGAAGAAGTGAAGACGCGGGAAAGGAACCATGTTCACTGCCAACTTCCTGAGATCAGCATTCAACTGCGAAATATAATAGGAGTAAAATTAGCTTTGAAACCTACGTTGCTTCAGTTCCTATCTCTTTCTGAAGCGAACAATTTAAGATAGGTAACTTTTAAATAAAACATTTAAAAAGGAAAAAGGTGAGGGAAAAACTCACAATAAAATGTAAGATTGAAATTTATTGCTAGAGCACTTGCTGGGATTGTGTGTTCGTGGTATGTTTATTTTTCTCGTTAATACAAAGAGGTGGAAAAACACAGGCGTTGTACTATTCAATCAGTTCATAATTGAAAGAGTGAACAGTTTAATCCTATTACAGCTCTTGCTGATCTTATGCAGACTTCGTGTGGCATTTATTCAAGGATTTTTTAAACACCGATCGCAAACTGCTTGATAAAATCGAAACAACTGTCACCTCTTGCTGTGTTCCGTTCGCAGCGCTACAACTTGCTTAAGGCATTGCTCACGCAACATGACCAGAATGTAAAAAAAAAAAAAAAAATAACCCCACAAAAACAAAACGTTTAACCAGATTCTGTATGAATATGGTTTTAATTATCACTCGTAAGAATTTTGTTTGTGTTTGTTGACATGGAAAGATTTGCTCGACTGATTTTCGGTTCGCTTGGCGACGCTTTAGTTTACAGTATAGCGGCTTGTTGCTATGCTGTACAGATCTTTGAGAGCAAACGGCAAAATCAGCACTTTTTTGGGAAGAAATAAGCTCGCCAGAAATTACAAACAGAACATAAATCGCTTTGAAAAAGGAAGGTTTCAATAATCTTTAGAGATATTTTAGACCTTACATGCGAATCTACAAAACGATTTCTGCTTCTCGTAACATGGCTTGGTTCGTGTCACAATAAATTTTTTCCAGGCGATTTAAACTTTAAATTTTATTTTTTGCCTCTTCACTGTTAAGCATCTTCCTAAACTTATTGTCATGAAAGGCTTGAAGATGGTATCCTTTCGTTGCCGTAATCAATAATTTAGAGCAATCTAGTCTTGTATTCTTAAAGGACGCGTTCCTGAATAGGCCCTTTCTTTCCCAATTCAACAAACCAATAAATTATTCTACCATAATTTTCCATAACCTTGTTGCTGACGTTGAAAGAAAATGAACAGAATCTGTTGCTATCATCCCCTAGAATAAGAAATTTTACTTAAAAGTTTTTGAGGATGGAAGTATTAAAAGAGGTTTTCAGACAAGAGCAGCTGCTTGTCGGAGACAAGTCGCCAAACTAAGCCGCTTATCATAATCATAGTTTGTTTGAGTAGTCAAAGCAGTAATCAAAGTTGTCTTTCCACGGCGTGGTTTAAAGCAGAGACTGCACACGTTTTGCTTACGCTCAGCTTGTAACTGCACTTTAATCTTAATTTTGATTTTTTTTTCTCGAAAAAACGAGGGGACAAAGGTAATGGCAATTTGGAACGCATGACAATCACCGCCGTTTTCGACCCTTCCACGAATGACAAAATTAATGCGTAGCTGTTCCTTGAAGAGTCTTTCTTGAGCCCGATGATATCAGTCCCAAACGTTAAATATCGCTAAATACGCGCGTTTTTCCCAATAAATCTAGCTTTCCTAAAACTAGAAACATTTTCTGATAGTGTGCACGCGATTTATAGTTTCAACTGATAATCGATAACCACTGGCTGCGCGCCCATTTCTTAACCGTTAAGAATACTGCTTTCTTCGTTAAAATTTCGTCAGTGATCGATTTTGGAGAATAAATCGACATTTACCTGGCCAGGGAATCGAAGGCAAGTTGTTACACCGCTCATGGTAGCTGATACAAGGTGGTTCAAGTCACCATAGGTTGGTGTGGTAAGCTTCAGAGTTCTGAAGCAGATATCGTAGAGTGCTTCATTGTCGATGCAGTATGTTTCATCGGTGTTCTCAACCAACTGATGGACGGACAGTGTGGCGTTGTAAGGCTCCACAACGGTGTCTGATACTTTTGGTGATGGCACGACGCTGAATGTGTTCATGATTCTGTCTGGATATTCTTCTCTGATCTTCGAAATAAGAAGAGTTCCCATACCCGAGCCGGTTCCGCCGCCAAGCGAGTGTGTGAGTTGAAAACCTTGCAGACAGTCACAGCCTTCTGCTTCTTTGCGAACCACATCGAGTACAGAGTCTACCAATTCGGCTCCTTCGGTGTAGTGTCCTTTAGCCCAGTTATTTCCAGCTCCGCTTTGACCTACGATGAAACGTGGCGATGTGTCAATTCGTTATACAGATATTAGGGTGTAGCTGTCGAACGAGTCTTACGATCGATTATTTTTAACTGTGAAATCGAAACTTGAACTTACCGAAGACGAAGTTGTCTGGCCTGAAGATTTGTCCAAAGGGACCTGAACGGACGGAATCCATCGTACCAGGTTCCAAATCGACAAGACAGGCTCTGGGAACATACTTTCCACCTAAAATATTTGATGAGTCGACAACAATGGTTAGCAGGGCCGAACATTAAAATATAGAGCCAAAGCGGCCACAAAATGGTTTGAAAAGAGGATCTAGATGATCAAACACCACAATTTGACAGTTACCTGTAGCTTCATTATAATAAACGTTGATCCTTTCCAACTGGAGGTCGGAATCACCGTGGTAAGTGCCAGTTGGATCAATGCCGTGCTCATCCGAGATTACCTCCCAGAACTGAAAAGCGAGAGTAAACTTGAGCGCAAACGAACGAAAATCTTATATTTCTGACTTTAGATATGTTCTAACCTTAGCTCCGATTTGGTTACCGCACTGGCCAGCCTGAAGATGAACAATTTCTCGCATCTTTGAAAATTTTTTCAGCGAACGTTGAAGGTTCTACTTTCCCTTGTCTTAAAGTTTGCAAAATGTCGTCGGGGAGATTGTGGCGCGGTTTTATTTAACGACTAATTTATGCGAGGCTTCGTGTGTCAACAATAGGCTTACATCCATATACAGTAGTGCTTTTGTGACGTCATTAAGGCTAGCCATCGAATGTTGTTGATGGTGTTTATTGGTGATCATGGTAAAACTCGACACCTGAAAGCTATTGTGCGAAAGACAAAGCTAAATAAAAGCTTAACCAATAAAAATCCTGCTGCGGTAACACATGATGTCTTTGAACAGGCAAAATGCAAATTTCAGTGGCGTTAGTGACAACAGTTTTTCTTGAGGAGACCGCGATAAACCGCACTTAAACATTATTGTATGATATTCTCTTATTACAATTTCTCACTCTGTGTCTCTACGAAGGTTGTCACGGTGTCTGCCGCTGCGATACTCAACAGGACATCTTATGATGAATTTATGCGATACTGAACTCATGCGGCGTAATAAATTTATGTCATCTGGAACGTGTCATATCATAGCAACGGAAGGGGTGCGGCTCATTAAATTCGCTCTAGTATCTTGAGCATTCCACTCTGGCATAGCAGCCGCCCCCTTTCCTCCCCTTCCCGTCCCAGATTTTTTTTTTTGTGGGGGGAGGGGGTGTTTGTACACCGGCTGGTCGAGATAGGACATCTTTTCATAACTTTTTTACCCATCATTTCGAACACCAGATGGAAAAAAATAAGGTTTCTTTGGTGTACTTTTCTCTGATTTTACATTCCGGAGAGCAGTGTAGTATGAAATTATTTACGAGGGCCGTCGCGAGTATTTTAATTAACGATAGTAGACTGCCGGTAATGCTAAATTAATCGTGCTCGATATCACACTTGTTAACTATCATTTTTTTTCCTAAGAATCAATATATTTGTTTTTCAGGAGATCTTATCATTGAGAGGAAAAGTTTTAATTTTTCATTTTTCGTGCGGCGACCACAGGAACTGCACTGCACGTCATAACCCTTTTGACTACTTTGACTACATTATTCGAACAAGTCCGATTGAAATAAATCACTTGTACTAAAACAACTGATGCAATATTCGTTATTGTTTCTAACATAGCATAACTTTAATATAAATTAACCAACCATACAATTTTAGAGTGTCAAAAATCGTTATATCATGCTGCGAACTCTTGACTGTGAAATGAGAAACAATCTCAAATTATCAGTGTTCACAGTGTATGGCAATAGCCAAGTCTCCAGATTTTAATAGTTTAGAAGCGATAATTTCCTTTCAAGTTGTTTTCTTCTTCACATTCGTTTTCCATCAAGCTCTACTGAATTCGTCTGGCACTTCAGCGACGTACATTGAGAAATTTTTTTCTCCCCAACGTTTAGTGAGAAAAGGAACGAGCTGAATCGAAGGTTAGCACTACGTAATTTGAATGAATATATCAAACGAGTTCCATCGTCTTAACATCGACAGTCGACAGTAACAAAGGCTCGAAAGGAGACTAATACAGCTGTACTATCGGTCGAGATATTGGCTCATTAAAAAGTGCCCTTTGTCGAGTGTCAGCTAGAAATTCATTCGTCGCATGCACGTCACAGGAATTTTTGGTGCGGCCTTCACCTCAGAAAGAGATCCAACATATAGTAGCCACTAAGCTACACTTTTTGTTATTTGAAGGAGATTGTATGATCGTTTTCATGCCATTTTTATCTTCGCCTTGCTCTTCCTGAACTTTCTACCTCCATATCACTTCCATGATATTTGGCAATTTGTCACCGTCCCAGACTGCCTCCTCGTTCGAAATCTCTGTGAGAGTCTGGTGAGAAGATCACGATGGAGTCTCTTCGTCCAAATCGGCAACTATTGAATCCAAAATTTGAAGGTTATAAACTAGCTTTGGACCCCCTGACACTGTCGTCCACTAGATTACTTTCTTCAGTGAATAATGTACCGCTCAGAGAGGAGTCGTTTTCCCTTCAACACATTCGAGCCTTTGGAAATCATAACCATCTGGTGATTGACTCTTGGACTGATGGCGGGAAAACTGAAGTTGTTTATTTCGTTAATGAAGACTACGAAGTTCAAAGGGCAGTTGTCAAAGTAAGTGAACCAATAAGTAAAATCGTGAGATACGATGAAAAACATCGAAAGGTGAAAATAATGTGAAATTGTTTCCTTGAACGTTTGTGAAACGTGAAGCTCTTTGTCAGTTTCCTCTCGTGTGGGTAAGGAGAATTTGATGGAGCATCAGAACCTTTTCCCAATAGTTAACTCTTGAACTCTAAGTAGTGATTAGAGTGTAGCCTCTCTTTGCAACGTCAATGTATTATTCAGCAGACAGACGATGACAACAGACAAAGTTGTCAACTAGATTGTCCTGTTTTGATTATTTATTTTGATGATCTGATTTGAACCATAACCTTTGTTCCCTAGATTTTAAAATTGGCATGGAAAACGATTGAAATAGATTTTGAAGTTTTTACTTAAAAAATGTGCAATATTTTGAATATTTAATGTTTATTTAATTTTCTTTTGTTTTAATACAAGGTTGGAATGCTCATAGAGGGATTGAAAATCTAAATATGCAACTTAAAGTGATAAAAAATATCTAACTTGTGTCTCTTTATAATTTTAAGGACACAGATGTTTCATCCATTGATACAGTATTCAAAACACCAGCAGTAGAAAAAACTGAAGAAAGCTTGAACTCAACACTGTTTCTTCCTTCACAATCTCTGGCTTGTTTGTGTGATGGGAGTGGGAAACTCTACTTGCTGCAAACAGGTGACAGAATAGGAGATTGTTCTCAGAATACAAGTTGGAAGGTAGGCTCAGTTTACCAGTTTGACCAGCCATCTTTGATCCTTCATGCTGTTCAAAGCCCAGAAACTGGATGTGTCAGTTGCTTGTTATTGAGTATCACCGAAAATGATGCTTCTACGTCAGTGAAAGATGCTCACAATGTTCATTTGGAGTTGATCACCTTTTCACAAGTGAATTGCTCAGCCACAGGTTCCATAAGTTACAGTTGCGAGATGCTGCAACAGTTCAGAGGTCACAGTGCACCAGTGTATGCTGGCATTGAGTGTGGTGGTACAGCTATTTTGGTGGCAAGTGAAAGACCATTTTCTCTGGTGAAAGGTACCTTATTTATTTGTGGAATTAACATTTGTTTGGAGTAGTGTAACAAGGAATATACTACATAACAACTCTGCATCTGAATTTAGCGATAGAACTCTGTTTAGAAGCTAAATATAGTTTCTTGTCTTTGAGGCATAATGAATGTAATTTGTGCAGTGATCACAATTGTTAACATCATCCCTTATCTGTTTGTCAATACTCTATCACCAGTATGAATAATGATCATCTCCATACTGCTTTCTGTATATTTCCCAAGGAGCTGACAAGGAGAGTTCATTTAAAAATCAAAGGCTAATTCAGTTAGTGATTATTTCCTTTATTCTCCTCACTTAAATGCATGATTCAGAGTTGATATTGTTAGGAGAAATTAGAAGCTAGTCACTCTTAGGGGTCCAAGGGTTAAGTTTGGTAAAGATTTTGGAAATAGAGAAGGTTCCTTTTTATCTGACATGACCTGTTTTTTCTTTTTTTGGAATAGGTGACAGCGAGGAAAAGCCATCAGGGTCATTTAACTCTGCAGATGATGGTATGGCTGAGATAAAGTCCCACAGTTCTTCAGCAATAGTATACAAATGGTCACAGGATAGTGAAGATGTCACTGTAAAATTTATTCTACCAGATGGCACCAAGAAAGATGATATAGCTTGTAATGTAACAGCAGATTCTGTGGACCTTCAAATTGGGAAAGAGATTTTGTTGAGTGGTCCTCTTTTTGCAAAAGTAAATTCAGAGGAAAGCACATGGACAGTCGAGGAAAATAGGTGACTTGCAGTACTTGTTTTCAGTCTTTATTTTTAAGTGTCTTTTCTCTCTACCCCTTTTCTTTCTCTGTCACAAAATAGTTATGTTTAGAATTCAACTGGCATCACAAGAAACCCTCTTAAGCATCTCAGCCAAGCAAAAATACTTAAAAATGGCTTGCACTCATTGGGAAGTGACATGTACTGTTCCATAATTATGAGAAATGATATTAGCAATTGATAATGCTTAACACTACTCAGTGTTCTCCTTTTCAGGCAGTAACTGGTAACATTTACTGCCTGTAGTACCTCTTATTACCGTTTAAAATTGCTTGGAATTCTTGAAAATTCAACTTGTAATAGGATTGCTTTACTGGTTTGAAAATTTATTTTACCTGTCATGCTTAAAATAAGGGAGAACACTGCTACTTCTTTTAATTACACATGTATCTAGAAAAGGAGAGATGGTAAATGTTTAGCTCTGTTGATAAATAAAGAAAGGATGTTACTCATGTTTTCACAATTGGGAGACAATTAAAAAATCTGTGTCCAGCCCACAGGGATTTTAATCTTTGGATTTTAATATATAGATTTAGCCAAGCCTAAGAGCAGAGCTCTTATTAGTTTATTTCCCAGCCTTACGTTACACTGAATAAAAACTGTAATAAAACTATCTACTGGCAAGTCTTTGTATTATATTTCAACCCAACCATTTCCTCAACATATTAACACTTACAAAGTAATTAGTCAGGGAAATGGAAAACTTGGATTTTATAATTGAATGTTCTACCACTTAGCTACAGAGTACTTGTTAGTGGACCGCAAGCATACCGGAAATTACATTGAGCCAGACATGACACAGAATATTTCTAATTATAAGGATAAGTTTGTTTTGTTTCTGAAACCTGGTGTAAACATTTTTAAAAACTTGCTGGTGAGTCACAAGCTTGCAGAAAGTAATACTTTGAAATAGACATGATACACACTATTTTCAATTACATATAACTGTGTCTTCTTTCTGAAACCTGTAGTAAACCTTTTTTTCTCCTCTGTAGTTTGGAACTGATACTTGTGAAGCAGGTTCAAGAACACCACTGGAGCAGTGTTGTTCAAGGTGATGACCGAGGTGTCTATGAGCTGGTAGGTGAGGAGGCACAGAGAGTGGAGGAGATTCACAATAGACTGGAACACCTCACATCAGACAAAATGGTATGTGAGATTTTCAACGCCTCAGATGTTCAGATGAGCTGTAAAATAATATCTTAAATCCCTAAGTGCAGCTCAATCTACAGTTAGCATCAAAATAGTTGGATTGCAACATTCTCAAATAGCTCATCACTTTTAAGCTCCAAGGGGTTGCTCTTTATTGAACTTGACTAATGATCTACTTAAATGAGTGATGGGGAATTGCAGTATTGGATTTGGAATGGCTGTATTGTCTAAAGATTTGATAGACTCTAAACTTTATTTTTCAGTGCTGCCATGTAAGGTTTCCTGAGCACTGTTTACTATTTGTCCTGCAAATTGCACATTTGATGTTTTTAATGGTATTTAACTGGCCAATTATTTTGGAAAAAATCAGTTTTACATTCCTATGTTGCTAAGTTCATCCCACGTAGCAATTTTTAGCAGAAAAAATTTATTGTGAACATCAAAAGTATTGATATTGTGTTGAATTTTTCAATCAATATTTGAAATCCAGGTGGAAAAGTCACGGGCAACTAAGATGTCATTTAGTAATGATGAATTTGAAGAATGTGATGCTTTCCCAGAGGATATTGAATATATTTTTCGGTTGGATGTTAAAACTGGAGAATTAACACACAAGGTATGTATTGGTAGTTAATTTTTTTTTTACAGGGCTCCTTCTATCAGATCATCTAATAAATGATTTGCACACCACTTGATGTAAGCTCCTCCAGAACTCTTTACCTACTCACAAAGGTTATGTGTAGAGCAAGTGACAAAAATGGACATCTTGAGAAATTCCTCTTACCTTCACTTTTACCATGAAGCAATATGTTTCTTCAGAATAAACTAGAAAGCTCTGATCAAGGGCTTATGGTGTGCTGGTGCTAACACAAGCTTTAGAAACTCTTCACAGTGGCCTATTTATATTTATCAACTCAGTTTATAAATCCTAATTATCTTTTAATACCCTGGGTGCAGCACTAAAGGCTCTTTAAAAACCCTTTTAAACTAGGTAATCTATTTGTGGTCTAGATTGTGAGCCCACCCAATTCCCTTGATAAGGTCATTCAAGTTCATGGCTGTTTACTTTGAATTTATGGTAATGGGTGATGCACATGTCTGACAAATTTTCTTTTCTTGTCAGGTTTGTTTAGCAAGTCATCAGTGGATCTTCAATGCATCACTTGATAAGAGTCTTCCTCCTGCCTTCTGCATACGTCATGATGTTGATGCCCTTGTGTGGCAGCCCAAGGCACACTCAGACAGTGAGGCTAACTGGATTCACACCGGAACATTTAATGCTTTAGGTTATGTCCAGGCTGCTAAAAGGGATCGCAAGTTCTCCACATGCGCCCCAGATCTGTCCTATGCTGTGATATGCGACAACACAAGACATGTTTATGTTTACCAACAACCTGTAGGGAGTGCTAAACATGCCAATCAACAAGTTGTAACATTGACAACTCCTGACAATGAAATCCTTGGGCTCCAAGCATCTAATAATAGGATTTTTGTCTTGACTAGACAAGCTGTGCATGTTGTGACAGTCAAGTAGAATGCTATGTCAAATATTAAGAAATTTCAAATTAGCTTTATTAATATAATTCACATACTGGTAGTCTGTATTTCCATGAATAAGTGCCCACACTCTAATAAGTGCTCACCCCTCTGCCATAATGTCAAAAAAGCACCACACCCCCTCAATTTTTTTAAATAGCAAGGACACACAGAAAACCTGTTTTCCTTACCACTTAATAACTTTTAAGCTACAACTACAGCTGGAATCAGTAAAAGAAAAAGAATTTCTTTTATGTTAAGTCACTTCCAGTCCTTTCTATCATCATGTGCTTTCAGAGTTCCTTAATGTGAGTTGTCTTTTTTTTCCTCTTGCGGTGCTAATTTAATAAGTACCCTCCTTGAATAAATGCCCTCCTTCCAATGAGCACCCTCCCTTTTAGCCAAAATTTTAAATAAAAGCCTGGGCACTTATTTGAGGAAATGCACTTTTTTTATTTGGAGTTTTTAGTTCCTTCTATTGTTGGAGGAGACTTGTAAAAATAGAGCCAGGTGACTTATGATGGGAAAATAGTTTTAAAACAATGAAAGTGGAGATTAACAATGGGAAAGGTCAAATAGTAATTTTTGTACCAATTGATATTCCATGAGGTGGCTCTTGTTGTCCAGTGTTTCCAAAAAGAATTGGAAATTAGAGTGTTGGTTTTTGTGGAGAGGAAAACCAAAGAACCTGGAGAACAAACCCTCGGAGCAAAGACAAGAACCCTTGACAAACTCAATCCACATGTGGCACAAAGTCTGGGAATGAAACCTGAGCTGCAGCAACGGGAGCAGAGCACACTATCACTACAGCACCACACCCACTTCCTGTTTCTTTGTCAAAATTGCACAAAATCTTATGACAGCAGAATATCTTTACAAATGAAATGAACAATGTCAACCTCTTTATTTCTTGTATCTCCATTAAAATTGTCTTTCCTTAAATAATTTTAAAATTATTAAAATATTAAAACTGTGTCACTGTGCATGAACAAGTTTCAAATGCGAGATATTTCTGATGAACTGATGGTAGCACCAAGAAGCAATGACAACCCTTTCATCTCAAGGTGGGATCATTTCATACATTCTCTACAACATTTTAACCCACTTTCAAACAAACAGCAAAAGAGAATTAAGAAAATCATCTCATTGGAACATTGTCTCGATATATATTAAAATTCTCACTAACAACCAATAAAGAAATGTGTGGCTACCAGTAAAGAGAATCTGCTCTAGATATTGGGAGTGAAAAGGTTTAAAGAGAAAATCATGGAGCTCTTGATTTTCCCTTCATTACGAACTTTGTAGATATTCAACTTTATGTATTGGAACTTTTTGATACTACATGTGATTATGGTCTCTTGTCTCTTCATAAAGATGACCATAGTATTAATTTCTGGCAAATAATATATACCAATGATACTTAATATCTTTACTACATGATGTAAGTACCTAATTAATCAAATAAACACTTAGTTCTTTTGGCTCCCATCTTGCCAATATGTTAACACTGGTCTTTCATTGTGCAAGTGTAACTGATAACAATATTATCATACAGAAAATAACAAAATGTTGATTTTCTTAAAAGATTACAGGAGACCAATGATGGCCCTAAATATTCTACTAGAGTTTTAGGGCTCAAGTCAGGAGAACAATCACAGCCTTCTGTTCAATGTTTGGAATTTTAATATGATTAGATGGTGTTCCCTGCAAATACAGCAGCCTGTCATAGCTTGTTTACTAGGCATTAAACAAAATCATTGTAACACTGTTCACATTTTGTGATATAACTCAAAAAATATGTGCATATTTAATTAGTCAAAGGAAGCTTAAAGAAATTGATGTTCAATTTCTCTTGCTTGACAGCCTTGAGGTGAGATTTGGATAAACTCTTACCCTGCCTTATTTTGTCCAATATCTTAATTTTAAACCTTTACTAGCCAATGTTTTTGTAATAAATGGCTACCAAAAATCATTGGAGAACACTTCATAACCTACCCAAGTTTGCAGGATGTAAATTGTACATTGCCAATTTTATCTTGATTCATAAATCCTTAAATTCATATATTTTTACCATGATATTAATCACTGACAATAACTAGATATAATTTACACCAAGATATAAAGGGGTGAATTTGTTGATGATTCTAGTCAAACATTTTTGTCCTTTGCTTGAACTTGCACCAGGCGTGGTTGATCAACATATTCATTGCCGAAATACAGCACCACGTACAGTGTCATCATCACAGCACCACCCCAGAACAACACATAAAGAAATTGTACTCCATAATCAGCTGCAAGAAAAAAGGAGAGAGAAATTATTACATCACAGGAATGCCTTTCACACAAAGTTGAAGGTGTGCCCCAAAGTTGACTGATAGTAGGCTCTGTATTTGCATTAGCTCTGATGAAGGGCTAACCCTTGAAACATAAAACTTTTTGAAACTCTCTGCATTGGTCAATTTACATTATCAACTCAGGAGATAAAACAAACCCAATTGAAATTTTCTGCATCAAGGAGGCTCGGTTTGAGTTTCAAGCCCTGGCCAGGCTTATTATGTTGTGTTAATCTCTGTGCACACTGCTTCCCTGGGTACCAACTGGTGAACACTAAGGGAAATCTTCTGCAATACTAGGAAAGGACTAGCATGCTGTCCAGGAGAAGTGGACACTTGTGATTCCTTCGTCCTACCATGCAGGCCACAGCATGTACAGGTATGGTTACTAATTTATCATTATGATAGTATTTCTAAAAATTATGGTACATGGAAATGATCTACTTTTAAGTCACAAATGACCATTAGAGAATGATAATTGCTCACTTAGATTGCATGTCCCTAGACACAAATTAAAATTGAGCGATTATTTAAAATTTTGCAGCTGTTTAAGATATTTAAACCAAACAAAATGTAGCTACAGGTGATGTTAAGTAATGAAAGTCGCAGAAAATCTACCATGACTGAAAGGCAGCCAGGGAAACAAAACTCACATGCAACAAATATATCCCAAAAAACAAGTGTACTATTTATGTGGTATATCATACTTACTTGATGGAATTAAAACACTGATAACAAACATGGAGAATCCTAGCAAAAGGATCATTGGGAGCTAAAAGAGTGAAGCAGAAAAATAAGATTTTAGTTAAACAAGAGAATGCACTCAAATGTTTTAATTATAAGTTTGAATGGTAATGCTTGCTGTTGCTGCATAGGTAAAAAGGAAAACTAACAACAGAATTCCAGTAACAACAAATGGATGAGCTACACAAAAAGCGTAATCATGAAAATGCTTTTTTTTGGTTACCAAGAAAAATGGAAAACACTGAACTTACAGCCATAAATCTCCAATCTCTGAGAATTTCAAGAGGTGATGGTTTGGAGATTCCTTCATTGGGGTCTACCACATAGTTTCCAAGGAACAAGTCAATTGAATCCTATAAGCATATAAAGTCAAAATTTCTTAACCCTTTACACCATTATACAAGATCAGTATGCATATTCTCCAGACTGTTCTCTATACATTTCCTAAAGAGCTGATAATGAGAATTTGCTTAACAATCAAGAGCTTTTTAGTATGTAATCTATTCTCAAGATGTTAATGTTTGATTCAGGGGTGATCTTGAAAGGAAAAATTTAGATGCAACTCATTTTTAGGATCAACAGTTAAGGTCATCTGTGAACAGCCTTGAAGCAAAAACATAAACATAAAAGAAGAGAAATAAATTACACACAATTCAACATACTTTGTGCCAAGGAAATATTTGCAAACTGATTTCACTCACTTGTCTAAATCCATCAGCAAAGTTGTTCTTGTAATACCTCACAGCTGAATTAAAACCATCCTTTAACGCTCCAAGTGTTGAACGCTTTCCAGTTCTATACACAGTGTAACACAAAGTTATTACATATGGTAAGCCTTCTCTAGGTCAACAACAACCTACTTAACATTGCACCTGTTACATTCACCTTGAATTCCCACTAAAACATTTATGTACCAAGGGACTAAGGAAATTAGTTTGTTTTATCAAGGGTTTGTTATATCGAATACCTTGATTCAACAAATTTTTGGAAAACAACCAAAATGTTTGTTATATCTATGGATGGTTAATAATTACTTTCCTTTTTCTTTTTTCCTCATTTTTTTTTGTGGTGTGATGTTGCTGCACTCACTTCCCCCAAGGAATGAAAGCTAAAATTTTTTGATATGGTGGTATGCCCTTGATAAAATGAAATCATCACTTATGCCACTTAGGCATAAAGGGCATGAGTTTGAGTTTGGAATAAGGAAGGGAGTAGAAGTGGCAAATGTCTTTCCCTCACAGGCTAATGTGAAGGAACAAAACATTTTAAACTTTAACAACCTAAAGAGGATTCTGAATTGTATCCTCAGTACCACAATCTGCAGAATTGTTCCCAATTTTTCAGCAAGCCAAAATTAGTTATGATAATCAAATATTACAGATTGAGAAGTTTCTTAATTAGTTTTAACATAGCTGAAAATTCATGCTTACTGAGAAGTGTTTTAACACTGTGAGTAATACCTTGTAAAATCTGTTTTGAGAGCTCCTGTTCCAGCATACTGCACAGAGCATGCATCAGCATTGTCTGCCCAGACTGTAAAAAAATCAATATTTGCAAAACAATGAGAGAGAGAATGACAAAAACTAGTTAACAAACTTTATAATTATAGTGTTATACTTGAGGAAAGTCACCAGCCTCTCTTCTTGTGTACATTCATCGAATTTTTTCACACAAATAAAGTTTTACATAAGAATTACCAAGTGGCGCAGAAAGTACAAGTGGGAAACGGAATATAGTGGACATTCCACGAGGTCACTCTTCTTGACCTCTGTTCCCAGGTTAAATTGGAATTTAGAATGTTAGTTTTTGTGGAGGGAGGAAAACCCTTTGAGCACAGACAAGAACCAAGAACAAACTCAACCCACATGTGATGCCAGGAATTGAACCTAGGCATCAGCAGTGGGAGATGAGCACTCTCATCACTGAGCCATCCCCACTCCTTGTAAATGTTGACCTACCATTCTTGAAAGCCTTCTCCATTCCTGCATAACTCTCTATTCTCTCTCCTGGGCTTAGAATTTCAAATCGCTATAATGGAAGTCACATTTCTGTTGTGAGTTTCACACAAAGAAAACACTAACATTGATTTTTCTTTGCATTTACCATTAATACAGAATTTTCAATTTTACTTGACCAAGTGTGACGTCATGGAGCTCAGATTTATCCATAAAGACCAGGGCGTGAAATTGATTTTTTTTTCTGATAGCCACTTGGCTCCTAAATTATTCAAAGTGGTAGCCAATTCAAAAAAAGTTGGTTGCCATTTTCAAAGACAAACAAACCCTTTTTTTACCCTGTCATCGTTCTAGAAATTAAGTTAGGGAAAAGATCTTTAATGTGCTACAAAGTGGACAATAGAATGGATGATATGCAACGTTCAAGCTCTCCTAAATCCATCCTAAATCTAGTTATCGATTGAGATGCATGTGCTGCGTTTTGGAAACAAACTTAATGAGGAAGTTTGCCGTGGATTTATCTTTGCAAATCTTTTTAATTTACTATATTTCTAGGTAAGATTATGATGAAACATTCTAGTCCCCAATTTGGCAACTAATTTTCAGGATTTGGTCGCCAAAGTAAAAAATTTAGTCGCATTGGCGCCTGTATTAGGCACAATTTCACGCCCTGAAGACATGTTAAAGTTACAAAGAATCGCATGATTTTCTCTGTATTGAGTGCCTTAAGATGCATAGTAGGACTATATAGCTTTGAAAACTGCCATGCAGTAAACTTTTTCTCTTTTAGAAAAAAGTTGTTTGGAGGTTAGGTACTATGTAACCTGCCTAAAACACTTTTTTTCTTTTTGAGGGACCATGGTGGGTAATTCATAGCCCATCTTGCACTCTTGGGTAGTGGATGTGGAAATAAGATTTGCTTCAACCTACTTCTTAGTCACAAAACCAGCCATGCATATGAAAATGCATACTATTAACATGCTCAAAGAGATGCACCAACTGTTTATCAGCCTTTCCAGATTGTGTGTCAACTTCAAGAAAAAGTACAACTCTTGCCATCAATTGACTTCTAATGCTAACATACATGTGAGTATGAAAGAGGAGACAGGCTTTACCTCGCACTGTGCTTGAAGACTTCTCCGTGCGAACAAGCTCTGAACAACATTAGTTCTTCAACAAAATAAGAAACAAGCAAACAAATGTCATCACTCTAAAACCCTTACATTTATTTTGTAACTTCTATGACAATTGCAACAATTGAAGGAAGAAATATAGATTTGAATTCTATTCATATAACCGTGAGTATGGTTATTTACCTGTCAAGTGAGTCAATGCAATTTGTTCTGAACACTCCCTTTTGCTCAGTGTCAATTTGACCATCTTTTCCTCTGACAGAGAAAAATCTAGTACAGGAATAAAACAAAATCACAATAATGAACATAACATAACATTTAATTTAGTAACAAGCATCAATTGAACAACTGTGGACTGATGTAAAACTTCTTCAGTAAACTGTTTAGTACACATGGTACTTTTCGTTCCTACATCTTGTTCCATGCTGGGGGCATGAGACAGCTCAGTGCTGCTTCTCTTTTAGACTTGAATATTTCTGTTTGCCAGAGCTATGGCTCCTGCTCTTGAATACAGTAGTTACTGACAGATATATCTTTGCAAATAAATGTATTTTCAAAATAAAAATAATCAAACATGTCACAAAAATGATGAGCAACACAGCACAAGTATCCTGTACTTCATTATTATTGCCTCCATACCCAGTGTTCTCTCTTATTTTAAGTGCAACAGGTAAAAGAAATTATCAAACTCCTATAGTAATATTTTTACTAATTCAATTTTAAGGTGGTAAAAAGAGGTACTAGTGGTGGTAAATTTTACTGGTTACCACCTGAAAAGAAGAACAGTGCATGCATACCACACCAATTCTTTTTTAAATAGAGTGAGAGCTACTGAGGACATACCCAAACTTCTCTTGATCTCCTTTTAATCTGTCTGTTAGAATGGACAATCTTTCCCATCTCATCTTACTGCACTCTTTATGGAAATCAAATGGCTCATATCTACAATTTCAAAAATAATAACAAAGAAAAGACACTAGTCTAATACACTGTCTTCACCCTTTACACCCTGACATCAGTACGCATATTCTCAATACCGATCTGTATAAATTTCCCAAGGTGCTGACAAGATGAATTTGTTTAACAATCAAGAGCCTCTTTGGGTGGTGATCCTTTTCATCATTCTCATGACCTTAATGTGTAATTCAGGGGTGATATTGTAAGGAGAAATTAGATGCAAGTCACTCTTAGAGGTCCAAAGAACCACCATCATAGGTGCCTTTGCTCTGATCAGAGGCTCATGGTTGACTCATCAGCTTTTCAACAATCCCTTCCACTGTTTACCTAATTTTCATCAAGTATTGCCTTGTTGAGAATGAACAAAGTGTTACACTTGCCTACGATTTTACCACAACAATTTCTTTAGAACATGATAACATAAATGCTGAATGATGTGTTGAACGAGTTGATGATCCTAAAATTACTTTGTTGACATGCTGGATAAGATTTTAAAACTCAAAAAAATATTCTAATACTCAAGTTAAGTTCATGTTCCACATTTTACCTCAAGAAGTTGTCAGTTAACCCTGCCTTACTGACAGTCTCTGTGTATCGATCACCTAAAATCTTCTCCGGGCCTTTCTGATCAATCTGTTCAAAAGAAGGAGAGTGATGACATCTAAATGCTCTTGAGAATTATTTTGCTAAAAATCAACTTTTCTTCCTGACAAAAAGTTTGATTCAACCTTGATAATTTTTATAGAATATTAACAAGGACCTTCTGCAAAGTGAAACCGCCATGATAATAATAACATTACCTAAGACAACATAGTTGTATTTGCATGCTTTTGAAATAAGAGAAATTCTAATATTAATTTAATACTTACAAGGTTTATTAAAACATGTTCTCCATAGTACACTCTTTCTTTGTCTAGGTGGAGAGCAAATCCACCTCTCTGCCAAAATGATAAATTAAAGAAATTATTAAAGATGCATTCAACTTCTCACCCTGTGCAATACAGAATTTGCTCAACTAGACATAATTATTGTTCTCAAACACATTTAATTTGATTTTGTTTAACCTTTTAACTCTCAAGACCTGACTGTCAATTCTCCCCTCGACATGTAACTGCTACACATTTCCTTGTAAACTGATTATGAGAATTAGGTGTTCAATCAAGGTGATAAATTGTACCTGATGAGTTTGAGTGTTCTCAATACCTGTTTGCTGTATAGTGTATGGATATTACAGGTACATGGTAATCACTTCTGGGAGTTAAGGGCTAAGGTAAAGGAACAATCTGCAAGCTCCCGCAAGTGGTCTTTCAGGCAGACGACTAGGGTTTCTGGGGGCACAATTAACCTTATCCCTTTCACTCCCAAGATCTATTTAGTAATTCTGCTTACTATCTGCCATACAATTCTTATGATGTTAGTTCAACTAATAATCTCATAATTGATATTCTTCTCTATTCTCATCACCTACCTGCTTGATATTGTATTGATATTGTAAGGAGAAATTCTGTCTTGGTCACTTGTGGGAAGAGACAAGATTGCATGTCCTCTGTTAATTCTTTCTCATCCCCCCAAAGAGAGCTTGTGTGCAGGCTTAATCCCTTAATACTCCCAAAATCTGATTGTTAATTCTCCCCTCTGGTGGCTTCATGTACACATATTCTACCTTGTAAATTAGTTATGAGAATTTTGCTTAAGGTCAAGATAGCACCTTCTACCTCAAAAGTTTGATGACTCTTATTACTGATTTGCTGGATAATGTATGGACATTATAGGGAGAAGTTGCATTTTAATCACTTTTAGGAGTTAAAAGGCTAATGGTGTACTGGGTACAAACTTCTTATCTATGGGTCTTAATCACTAATTCTTTATCTTTTTTTCCTCTGCTCTTTTCTGCCCCACCTCACAAAAGAGTTTGCACAAGATGTACATATAATAGAGGAGATCTTCAACACTTACATGGTCAGCTGATGGATTTAGCAGAGGTACTGGTTTGTATCTAAGGTTGGGTCTCTGAGACCAAAACAGTGGAATAGATCCTCTTGTCTATGACAAAGAAAAACAGTCATGAGCAAAGAGGACACAGTTTTTTTAAAAATTCTTTGACTGCACCTAACAGGGGACTGAATGTTTTCATACCTGAACAAAAGAACATGCTCCAGATTCAAACTGAGTAATCTGCTCAGTTTCGACATAATTTGCAGCATTTCCTTCAGCATCAAGTCCTCGAATGAAGTAACGTGTACCTGCAGGAGACAGAAATCTTATAAATCATAATTTTTGTATTGACAAGATAATTGACCCACTGGACTCCAATTATACAAAACTTACCAGACATCTCTGTGATTTAGTATTATTAACTGAGTTGTTAATGTAAATTGGCCATCATAAAGAGTTTTAGAGCTGAGTCAGACGTTTCAAGCATTAGGCCCTTTGTCAGAGCAAATGGAGCCATGTTAGCCCATTTGCTCTGTAAAGGGCTTGAAACATCAGCTTTAAAAAACTCTTTATGGTGGTCAATTTTTCTTATCAACTTAGTTGATAATACTAAATTACCCTGTTATACTCTCCCACCAACAGAGCACCACAGTTTCTTTAGAAAATTGCCCCTCCACCATATATCTGGCCCAAGGATGTTACCAAAATTACAAAAACAAACTCACACATACCTGCCCTGAAACAACTTCTTCTTGATATAAGGATGAAATCAAATGTGTTCTGCTTAATAACACAGGAATTGATGGAGATGACTTAGCAGTGTTAAGGGAAACAATTGATATTCAGATTTTCAGTGAATCAACAGTCAGGCTGAAGACAGTTACCATGTTACTTTCAACTAACAAGCCAGACTGACAAATAGACCAAGAAAACTTTGTTGTGAATTAGAGTTGCTTAGAGATATAGAATCTATCATTTGTTTGTTTTCCATTTTGTTTTCCATTTTTAATGAAAGAAAACCTCAAAAGGAGGAGTAGTATCATTACATTGTCAGGTCTAGTTGGTATGTTCTGTCTAATGCTGAGGCTGAAAAGAAAACTTTTGAAGAAGAGCAGATTTCAAGTACCATCATTTAGTAGAAAACTTAAATGCGATTGCTACAGAATGCTACAATCAGTAGGGCTGGAATAAGACATTAAGCTACTCTGAAAGTACCAACTTTCAAATTTTGAGTGAAAAGGTTTTTGGGGTTACAGTTTATGGAGAACTGGTTTGAATCCTTTCACTCTGAGGAGTGACCAAGACAGAATTTCTCCATACAGTATCAATACAATATGACGCTGCCAAGGCATGAGAATAGGAAAAACATTTTCAGTAAGAAGGGGGAATATCACTTGATCCAACACCAAATTCTCACAACAAAATTTATATGAAATATATGGCAGACAGACAGACGTATTAACGTGAATTGTTGTCAAGATATTGAGGGTGAAAGGGTTAACTAAAACAGCCTCCCAACCAGCTTTGGAGATGAGACTGATGAGAAAATGGCCTTGAATAAGCATGGACAAGACGATGAACAGAAGAAAAACTGGCCAGGAGCTTCCAGTGAAATATTCATATATAGGATTCATGATTGAAATTAGCTCTTGGAACATTTGATGGTCAATTTCTACATGTTGCTGGAACTGAAAGGAGAAAGATTTCTTTAATAACAGAGAGAAATGCAAGACTAACAAGTACAGTTGTACATAGCATTTTATTTTAAAAAAGGATACAGCCATGCATAACTGGAAGTATAAATTTGTAAAGCTGTAAGAGAAGATCAAGACAACAAAAAGATGTATTATGCATGTGTTGGACTATTTGAAAATCAATCAGTGAATCAAGGAAGTAACAAATGATTACTGGTATTCTGATTCTGGTTGAGAGTCAATTGGTTAGTATAAATTAAGCACTATTCATTCAGTCAATCTCAGATGATCAAAAATCATTCCTCTCTTTAACAACTAGATGTTATAATCGTGTGGAGTACTCCTGGGAATGTAACTCCCAGTGTTGTGGTCTGGCCTTGTTTCCAAAAATTCCTAAATTGGGGGAAACCTGTAAAAATTTCATCTATAAATCATAAACTTCTTGATGCAGTCTGGCCAAAGTCTCCCACAAAGTGATAAAAGAATTTTGGTATAGAGAATGCACTGTATAAATGCCTCATTGTCATTAACAATTTAAATAACACTCAATTAGTATTTGAGAGACAGTTACCTCTGGTTGCACGACTAAAGGTCTTAGAAGGTGACCATTCCATACAAATCGAGGATCAGCCTGATGGGAAAAATTGGGAAAATTTTCATCAGTGAAAATGGAATTAGGATGTTCTCTAGTGGGCATTAGGTTGGTTGTTTCTAATCCAGTAAGTTACTGGGAGTATGTCATCTTGACTAACCTCCCTGCTATTTGTCAGTTTTCCTTATACTTTGTAATTAATTTCTCATTTATACTCCTGGTGCAGGGTTGTCTTAAGGAAATACAACAGATGTGTGATCTGAACTGAGTAAGCAGATGAACTGAATTATGCTTACAAAGCAGCATGACATGATGCAAAGAAAAATTCTCTTGTATGGGGGGTCTAGGTGCATGCACCTTCTGCAAAATTTGAAAATTTTGGATTCTTTGAGACATGAATTCTAGCATTCTGGAATACACTTGAGTAACTTTTTTCAGCCAGACATTGATGCTAGAATCAGTTCAAAATTACTCATTTCTGTCTTTTATCACAATTCACAGAGAAGACACCTAGAGATGGTCTAACAACAGAAGGTTTCTGCTGTGTTCCTACCAGTAATCACAACCTTGTGGGTAGGGAGGGGTACTGAGGAGTGAAGTGTCCTGCTCAAGAACAATCACAATAACTGCTTAACCTTTAACTCCCAGACCAAATTTGTCATTCTCATTACTGTCAAGTATACAATTCTTATAATGTTAGTTCAGAGAATTAAGTATTGAATCAACTAATTATCCCCAAATTGATATTTTTCTTTATTCTCATCACTTATCCCGTTGATAATGAATTTATATTGTAAGGAGATATTCTGTCGTGGTCACTCATGGGAGTTAAAGGGTTAAGGCTCCACCCAGACCTCTTGATCTGCAGTTCAGCCCACCTTCATATTCCTCTTATCTTATTGCTATATTTATAATGAATGTGACTTTTAATGTGCTCATACCCTTTCAAAGAGAGGCATCTGAAGGAAGTCTGGGCTGGTTCTTGAGAGGCGTTGCAGAGTGTGTGTTAGATCATATGTACAAGAGAAGTAAAAGCTACTGGTCTGAAGCACTGATTGCACCATTGATAAGTAGATATTGTTATTCCGTTGCTGTAAAATTGATGAGAGGAATTTTTTTTCATCATTGTTATTTTTGTTATTATACTTATTATTACTATCATCATCATCAGTACTTATATAATTTCACAAATAGGAATAATTCAGTCAAAACCCATCTCCATGTACCTGACTCTCTGTGAGATGCAATGTTGCTCTTGGAAAAGCCAGAATATCTGTTCCTTTGATTACCCATACTTCATGACCCCTGACATGACCTACAAGAGTCTTCTTAGTGACTACAACCAAGTATGGCCCTATGGGAAAATAGTAGCAGACATGTAAAGTAACTTAGGAAAAAATACTGTGGCAAGTTTAATGATTGTTATTAAACATTAGACTCACAATGAGAGAGAGATTGGTTGAGAGCATACAATCAATATACAATAGCATGTGAAGTTGACACGATAACCCAATATCTGGCTCATCATGTCTAATTCAAGGTCTTCCCAGTTTGTAAGCCCCTCATCCATAGAGTTTTCTCAAACTTTTGCAAACTTAAAGAGCAGTGTCATCTTTTGCAGATTGTTCAAAAATGTAAAATAAAATAATTATTGAATTTGGTTTCCACGTGATATTATAAATTCACAAACCTCATGTATGTGCTACCCGCCTCAGCCTTTGGCTTCCACCCATAACTCAGACCTTGCCATTGATAATTTGTAATATCGTGCCCCACCTTATCCATTAATTGCTCATTATATGGTTGAGCATCCCAGATACCAACAGGAAGGTTCCCTTTTAGGGTACTTGGATTTTCATCTTCATTGAATAAAAGAGTTGAGCTGGGATTGCAAGTATCTTACCTCTTACATAACATGCTATAGACAAGCCTTCAAGAAAGAATGCGAATATAATTTCAAAGTTGTAGAATAAAGAATATACATGTAGATATACACTGTATTTCCCATGCTCTTCAAGTGTACAAGTCTCATACTTATTATCAAAAACAATTCCAGGCTAACAACAAAGAATTACATCAAGTACTGCTGCAATTAGTTTCAAAGTTACCTGCCAACAAATTTATGATTCCCAAAATTCCAAATATATCTCTACTCTCAGCTGATGGTGGGATTTGACCCTCATTGTCTATAATGGGGATGATAAAAATCACAAATTACTACCTGTTTCTACAAACAGAATGACATCTAAGAAAACTGAACTCATAGCAGAATATTTTTAGTCAACATGTTGGCCTGTGAATAACAAGTATTAATATTGTTACCTAACAATGTGATGGAAGAAAATGGATTTTTGAATACATGACATTAATGGGGTGATCTCAATTTTTTTCAAGGTAAGATTTCTGCACACCCAATGCTGTTGTAAAACAAAGCTGTAGTCCAAAAGGCAATCTTTTGTTTTCCCAAATTTTTTTTCCCAGAACTGTTTTCATAGTGAAGTCTGGGGCTGTGCAAAAATCTTACCTTTTTCATTCAGTACATGCTCTAGTTTATATGTAAAGACAACAATGTTTACGTTTCAGCAGATATCGGGAGGTACAATGTCTCAGATGTTAAACTATATAACATATAATTTTAGAAGAATCTGACATGTTTAAGGACGCACTCAGATAAAACTTGGCGAAATACTTGGACTTTGTAGCTTTTTTGTAGTCTATTTACGCCAGCATCTGATAACCTCGTTAAAACTCCCACGATACGCTTTAAAGTAACACTAACAAAATTTGATAATTTAACAAAAAACTGATCTTTAATTTCACACAAAAATCAACGAATCGTAACGACTGATAGGTTAAAATGTTCTTTCCAAGGTCTGCGAGAAGGTAAACAAAGAAGAATCACGTCGTGATAATGACTGTTTCTTAATAAGGTAATGCTTAATGAAACTTATTACTCGGTTAGAACGAAATCATTTTCACTAATCAAAAACACGCCTTAAATTTAAGACGATGATTGTCATACAACTGCCTGTGAAGTGACCCTTTGAAAATCTAATTAGACACAATTTTTACCTGCTAGACTTAACTCTTGTGTTACACGGTCTATTTCGAGTATTTGATCACCAACTGATTGCTGGTCCCTCGGCTCGATATAAAACTTGTCAGGCGCGATGTGGCTGAAGAAAAAGGAAAAAATGGAAATTAAGGCAACTGGGAGAAATTAGTAGCGCATAGATACAGAGAACAGACATCGGAAGAGCCATCAGTAAAGAAAAGAACATACAGCCTCAACGCTCGGTAGACGGCGTTATCCGCCATGTTGGCATCAAGGTTAAGTCTACAATCTCATGAATCAGCGGTTAGCAGAGAAAGAACGTAAATATCCAAGTTCTTCTGCGGTACCCATGTCAGCGGCTTCAGCTCCAACTCGAGGCAAACTCATATCCAGGTTTCACTCAAACAGGACTTTGGGATTGAAGTGTGTTTTACTGTTTTTATTTCGCTGGTGTCACGAATTTCCGTGAAAATGACGTCTTTTTCATCAGCAACTTTGGAGAAGAAATTATCTGATCTTTCCAACACTCAACACAGTGTCCAGACGCTTTCGCTGTGGCTTATTCACCACAGAAAACACGCTAAAGCGATCGTACAGTCCTGGTACAAAGAACTGACGAAAGGTGAGTAAAACCGTGCATAGAGTAATTGTTTGAACTTGTTGTGGGTTGTGGAGAAACTGATCTCCATTGACAGATCTTGCATTGCATTTGCTCAGCTGGTGCGAAAGAATCACTTCAACATGCCTTTCACATATCTCATATATATGTTACATGTGGCGTGCGTTGCCATACCATATTTACGAATGAGGCAAAGGTCTCTAATCAAGTTCTGTTCTGCAGTAGAGGGGTTGAACGATCTAATTATAATGTGGTGCACATTCTTGGCATTTTCATTATCTTATGCTAAGGCGATCGACTCAGATGCTTATAGCTTTTGCTGAATATATGTCAAATAGCTTTTAAGATTTCCCATGCAGCTAACTCACTTTCCTCAACTCCTAATTGATTATTAATGAAAAGATTTGGAGGAAATATGTGTTATATTTTTATTTGATTTGCCTAATTCTAAGTTTATTTTGGCGGAATCTTGTCATCCAGTGATATCTATCAGAAAACTGATGCATGATCTTTTTTGATATTTTTTTTAACTGATGACTTATTTATCTATTTAATGCAATTTAATAGCAATTGATTAACAACAATGGTTAAAGCCATAAGGGCATTTTTTAAAAGAGTTACAATGAATCCATATTAAAATACTCAGATTTTATCAAGTGCAGAGTATCCAGTAAGTAAATTTCTATTCCTGTAGATACCAAAACATAGAAGGGACCTTAATAGCTCACCTCCTTGAAGCTCATCGGGCCAATTGATTTGTTCATTTCACATTTTCCCACTAACTGTGTTGTGTACAAATGACAAGAAACCCTTTATGTTCAGTTTTGTTAATTATCTTGTAAGCTTTAACATTCTCCATGTTTATTTGCAGCAAGGACAAGCAAAAAGCTTACCTTCATGTTCCTGGCTAATGATGTACTCCAAAATGGAAAAAGGAAAGGCACAGAGTTTTTAAATGAATTTAAACATGTCTTACCAGCTGCATTTCAGCATTGTGCACAGTAAGTAATTATCTGCATTCTTAAAATAATTTAAGTTGTACTAGCAACCAGAAAAGGTCTCTTTGTTTTTTACTTGTACCCCTTAAACCTTTAACTCCCATGAGTGACCAAGACAGAATTTCTCCTTAAAATATCAATACAATATCAAGCAGACAAGTGATAAGAATTAAGAAAAATATCAATTAGGGGATTATAAGTTGATCCAATACCAAATTCTCCAAACTAACATCACAAGAACTGTATGGCAGATAGTAAGGAGAATTACTAATGATATCTTGGGAGTTAAAAGGTTAAATCCTCCTTTATGTCCAATGGAGTAATGCTGTGATCCAGATTGATGAAATTTTGAATTCAGTTTTTGATACACCTAAATATTTTGTTTGTTTGTTTGAATTTGTGTGAATATGAAGTTCCTTTGATTCAATGTAGCTGTTATTTGTTTTTAATCCAGGGGTGGATCAGTGGAAGCTATACGTGGTCTTGAAAGGCTGATATCAATATGGACTGAGAGAAATGTGTATGAAGCAACTTTCTTAGTGAAGCTACACAAGTGTTTGGGTGAGTTTCTGTATACAGTGCTGGGGAAAACAGTTTTTTTCTTTGCTTTATTAGGAGAGGTGGGAGAGTGCTTAATATTTACAGGTTAATAACAAGTGGATACAAACATTTTGGCTGAGGCAGGCTATGAAAATGCTGTTAGTATAAACTTTTGTCCTGTAACCCTTTCACTCCCAAGATATCGTTATTTATTCTCCTTACTGTCTGCCATATCATTCTCGTTATATTCAGTCTTCATCACTCATGGATGTCTTTGGGATGTTAGTCCATCGCAGGTACATGTAACCTACCCCCCCCTTCCCCCTTCACTCTCCCTTAGCACTGTGTGTGGGTTTCTGGGACAGTTCACAGTACTTGTTTGTAATCACTTTCAAATTATGATAAACTTTACTTGTACATAGGTCAAGTATCAGATTCACCTCCACCTGAGAAGAAACAAAAGACCGATGATGAAAAACAAGCTCCACTGATGGAGCCACCAGATGTAAGGCACCAGGTTTTGTTTGAAATTATCATTATTATCCTAGAAACTGTAGAGGGTATCTGGTCAATTCAAATATTTGATAAACTCTGCAGATGAAGTTAGTGTATAGTTTTACACATAATGAAATTGTGTACACTGGATTGGATAGTGCAACTGTCAGGGTGAGGGTAATCTTTACCCTTTACTCCTAAGATATTAATAGTAATTCTCTTTATTGCGTACTATACATTCCTACCAATTTGGTTCCAAGAAATTATTGTTTCATAGGTTAGCATCCCCACAATGATGTTCTTTTTTCACTCTCATCACCTATCAGGGTCATAACATCCCGTGTGCGTTCAATGAGATATGAAGCACGCGGGAGGTTGGAGAGCACGAAAGACGCGTAAGAGTTGCTCGAGGCGTAGCCAAGAGCAGCTCTAGCTTCTTGTGTGCTCTCCAAACTTCTCAACATTTTATAACATTTTCAACCTGATGGAAATTTTTTTTCTCAAGGGATTTGTTTGCTGACGTCATGAGTGTGCACAGTAGGAATATGAAGCATGCTCGCGCAATTGAATTTGATTAGACAAATTTACCAGCTATGTTATAATACTTCTTGGTCATTTGTGGGTGTGAAAGAGTTAAAAAGGACAACGACAATGATGATGACTGGCATTTTGACAACCTGAATCAGTATGAGAGACAAGTGAAGAGTTAGATTTTAAAAAACAGTTGATAAACTGTACTTGAGCCTTACAGCCATGAACATGAGGGCAAAAGTAACAAATCAGCTGTCATGCATGAACCAATTTACAACATCAAACTTACAGTGAGCTCTTCCCTTGGTACTGATGAAAACATCCTTTAGATTAACTCAACACTTTTCTACTATCACTTGATTAATAACAGGAAATCCTGGTAAACTGATCGTGCAGTCTATAGCAATCTTGCTTGTGAGATTAGTCCCATTAATAAGTTGTTTTTATGACAGTGTTGGATGTTGCCACAGCCTGAGTGAAGTCATTATTAGAGTCTAATGTTATAGAAATTATTAACCACAATGTTTACTTGACTTTGTGATCAGTCATTTTCTAATGAATGTTGTTGTTTTGGTCTTAGCCGGAGGATTTAATTAAAGCATTAATGGAGCTTGAAAACTCAGCTTCACAAGATGCTGCTGTCAGAGAAAAGATTGCTAATTTACCAGCTGAAGTCCAAGATGTGTCACTTTTAGAAAAAATTGAAGGTAAAGGCAGTACATTATGTGTAGTTTGTCCATTCCCATTTTAGCAAACAATGTTTGTAAGAAGTAGTCTTTTAACAGAATTTACATGTCGCATGATTTAGATAAAGAAACTGGCGATCGTCTCTCCAAAATTGTTGATGAAGCTTGTTTATTATTGGCGGACTATAATGGTAGACTTGCTGCTGAGCTAGAAGATAGAACAACAATATCCAAAATGCTGGCTGCATTTATACAGCTCCAGAAAGATAAACTAGCAGAATCAGAGAAAAAACTTGAGGTAAGTATTCCGAAGGAAGAGCTTTCTTAACACACTATGTGCTAAGCAAGAAGTAGGATTAGGGAGGTTAGGCACAGATCTATTCAAATGCAAAAGGCAACTGGAAGGTTTGAATTCCTACCTCTGATGTTTGCCACAAATCTTTTGTCTGTACTGTTTGGTATATAATACTAAACAAAGGTTTTTAAGCTGGTTTTTTTGTCAAAGTACGCCAGGTGTGACTGTAATGTACTTCTACTTGCCACTATGCTGTACCTCGTGCAAAGGTCAAGCATTGCTGAGAAGGCTTCCTTTACATTGAATTCCAGTTTGACACAAATTACGAAAAATTAAAGGTAAACCAAACTATAGATCAAACACAAAATCTCTCCGATTCTGTAACAGAGACAGTTTTATCCTCAGATAAATGTCGTAAACCACCATTGTTTTTTACAAGGGAGTTGCTTATCTATGTATTTCTTTCAGGAATACAAGGCCAAACAGGAAAAAGTTCAACTTGTCAGACAAGAGCTCAAATCCCATTTAGAAAATCTTCCAGACCTAACGAAGCTTCCAGATCTAGCAGGAGGTTTAGCCCCGTTGCCTTCTGCTGGAGATTTATTTGCTTCCGGAAATAAGTCATGAGAGTAACGAACTTTGTTAAAATGTTTGACTGGTATATAATTTATTAATGTCTTTAATACATTTAAACAAAAAAAAATTAACTCCTGGGCTTTTAAATATCTGTTAATTCAAGAGCGACGTCTTATAAATACGCGACGTGGATGGTACATGTATGTTTATAAGGCTGGTAAAATGTCCTGTGAGTGGTGAAGAATTAAGAAAACAAAGAATCGCAGGTTTTGTAGGAAAAATAGAATTACTCAATCTGAATATTGTTGAATAATAAACAGTGACCGGAGGGAAAATGATTTCTCGATAGAAATTATTATTAAACGTATACATTTCCTTCACTTTACATTTTCTTCTTCAGAGAAGAGAAATTGTGATCGGTCATTTTAAATGTTTTACTTTCTCACTGTTTCTTGTTTCTTGTCATCAGCGAAATGAGAATGTGTTTAGAAGAGGCGACTGCCCAAATTTGATCAAATTACCTTTTAATGCGCAGAATTTGTCCCAGATATAGAAAAAGAGAGTTAGAGAGGTTGCTGCTCAAACGTTTCCCTGGAAACCCAGCTGTATCATTTTGACTCTGTGACTGAAGCAGGTAGTCTTTGAGGTTTTTGTTTCTAAACAACCAATTTTGAGAGCCTTAATGTAAAGCTGACAACAAGTCATCTGAAGATTGAAGAAAGATACCCTTTCGATTCCTGATTGAAACAATGCTTATCTACTGTGACCTGAGTCAATATTTATGTCAGTGTTAAATAACATTTAGGTGTTTTCGGGTTTCTTTTGTTACGTAACCATGATTTACAAACGTTCTTTTCCAAGTACGCTTAATTCGAGGGATGCAGAATTTTTTTTTTCTGAGAACACATATATTTCTCTAGAACTCAATTCTGTAAGAAGTTAAAGGTTTGGGTAGTCTTTCAAGAAGGAACGTCTGGACGTTATATGTCAATGTCTATTTTTCTCATTCCTGTGGGAAAAGTTTGTTTAGTTTCATTGATCGGAATTGTCTGTGTTTATCACTTATCGATCGGAAGAAAGGTTAACATCATCATTAACCAATAAAAACAAAGTAAAAACAGGCAATCTGCTTGAAGCGCGGGAAAACGCGAGTGACCAATTGCAAGTTGAGATTGGTTCTAGTTTTGTATTTGATCGGTTGTTATGATGGCGCGATTTTTCTAGACCAATCACAGAGTGAAGTAACGCAAGGCAATCCAAAATTACTTCCCGTCACTCCCTCCCCTTTATAGGCCTTTTTATGGGTAAAACACGGCGTGGAGATCGCGTGTTTTGCTGGGAGAGAACGATCTGTGACGAGACCAAGCAAAGGCTGCGAAGGAGACTAGCAGCAACGACGAACCAAAAATCCCACATCTCTGATGACTAACAAGGCCTTGATATGAATTATTTAGAGAACATTTATTTAGTGGCAAGGTCATCATTGTCGCTCTTTACAGTTCAGGCTACTAAAATAAGTTTCCACATGAAGTTGATAAACCTCTGGCTCAGAAGTTGTGCTTGAAGCACTTTTGCGTCCAAGCCTTCATAACGTCAACTTGATGTCATAACTTTCCTCCTACACAGGCCATGCCACAAGAGCTTCCTAGTTTAAATATACTTCTCATTCTTTGATTTCAGTTCAACTAAGATTCATTTTTTAGCCATCGTATCGCTGATATATCGATTTGACGTAACCTTTTTTACTACCAAGTGATCACAGCTTATCTTCTCCTGACAATTTGGCTACACAGTTAAGCAGACAGGTCATGAAAATAAAAAAAAAATTGGTAATATTAAGAGACATTGTTTTGATATAAAACCAGATTCTCTAGACAAACCAACAAGGAGATGTAACAACATAAGTTAGAAGAATAAATAATCAGATCTCAAAAGTCAAGAGACTAAAGATTGGAAGTTTGACTCGCGTTTAAAATACTTCCTGATTCGTTAAATTTCCCCTTTTGCAGTCATTTTCAATTTAATCAGGCAGGGACCTGTCATTTATTAGAGATGAGAGAGGAAGGAGGGGGGAGATTCCTTCTTTTTTTTTTTCTACACCAGGTGCAGTTTTTTATATCCCTTAAATTACTTCTTGCAGAAAAAAACTGTAACCCTTCCCCTAATGTGATCCAAAAGAGATATGGCCATCCCTAAAGCCCTTAAATATTTGTGGCCCTGCCCTTTTGGGTTGCATAAAATATAATGACTTTCCCCATATTGCACGGTCCCTCTCCCTTCCTCCTTCCTCTAACAAAAAACAGGTCTTTTAATCCTCATACCCCATCGGTTATGTCGTGTCTCGTTGGTGTTTTTTCTATCATTTCAAACTGTTAGCTATAGATTTCTTTTCAATCATTAACTAGGAATTCTAATATTGTCATGAGCTTCTTCCTGGCATAAAATTAGTAACGCAATATTTCCAATTTTTCCGTCTATAAAATTGACTAATTTTCACCTTATTATGTAGCAGTCTCTTAACATCTGGACATATCAATTCGATCGGTTTTTGCTGTAGCTTAAGGAACTTGGTAGTCTTCGCCTTTTCCCCAATAATACCAGCAAATACTTAAGCCATTGTGAACATAAACAAATTTTCAGGGGAAACGAGTATTGAACCATAGGAAATGATAGTAATGTGTTAAATATCTACAACTCTGAATACGATTGCTAAATAAAATATTAACCTCTTAATTTTTTCGAAATCCGAGAAAAAAGTCATGGCTGGTTTTTCACGCCAAACTACTAATCCGTCTTGAAGCAGTTTTAAAAGCTAACTGCTCATATTTAAAACCTACAGCACTCTGAGAACCCCTTACAGAGAGGATACAGACCAGAGGAACGATTGACCAGCGCAGGGCGAAAACCCGCAGAGCTCGGAGTTTCGCTACCCCGATAAATGACTCTTCTTTGAGCAACAATTTTTCCCGTTCAAATTGCCCCTTGAGAAATTTCCTTTCTGTGAAAATAATAATGATAATAGTAATAATATTAATAATGTTAATAATGATGATGATTATAATAATAAATTTCCTGAAATATGCAATTCGAGAACGACATTTGATGACAAGGAGACTTGAAATGTTTAAAACAAATTCTTGCTCTAGCAAGGTTTCCTTCTCATATCGTGGTGTAACAAGGATTTTTTGCTTAAGTCTATCACGTAAACCTTTTGAATTCTTGACAATTGCACTTGGCAAGTAAGACTCGACGGTATAAATATAGTTTTTTTGGTACCGTTCTCGTTTCCTACTTTCCGGTCATTCTGGGAAAGGCTCGCCCCACTATTGATTAGATAATTATAATCGGATAGAATTTCTGAGATGGGCTATCGTTCCTCTGGGCACAAACTCTTTTGATTCACACTATTATACGAGCCATGACTGGCTGTTTAAAATATATACTCCACATTTAACGACGTTCGTTTGGTAGCTGCATCATTCTCCTCGCGCTTTACTTGAGAGCTTTCCAGCGTAATTCTCCAGCCAAGCTCTTACTTCATTTACATTGTATGACATGGGCCCAGGCCCTCCCTGGTAGACTATTTTACTGTCCCGGATGATATATAATCTTTCTGGGCTTGCGCCGTAAGCTAGGTTAGCGGCGTCTAGCATTGTGTCCACTGTGACGGTGCACGGTGGATTATGGGATAGAAGAAGCTGGGCTGCCGCGCATCTTTCAGCTTGCGTTCGATGCTTCGGAATGTTATAGTTGTTCTAGGAGAAAAGAAAAGAGTAAAATCCAGTAATAAGTGCATCCCGCATTTTATACGAATACTGCCAGTCCACAGCACGGAATACTCCAGGATTGTTTCGACTGAGGAGTTTTCCGCCTGAAAACGTTTGCACTGACCGTTTATGTCAATAGTGAAGAACTGTCAATAAAATAATTAAGTTTTTTTGTTCTTTGCTAAACTTAAGGGTGAGAAGAGGTTTCCGCGCAACTTTTTCCCAGACTTCACAGCAAAGATTCATTATTGAACAATTTCTACTCGACTACTCCGTAAGAAGAAAAATTGTGCTGAAATTTCAATTTTCGGCTCCATCGAATTAAAACCCCTTGTGCTTTCAGAAGTGATTGACATTTAGATTCTCCACGCAATTTCGTACATTTCCCGGGCGATGAAAAGAAGACAAACCGTTCATCAGCCAAAAGGTAACATTTCTATTTAACATGAAATTCTCCTAACTCATCAAAAAAGAAATGTGTAGCACTTACAAGGGCGAATTACTAATCACAAAAATCTTGAAAGTTCAAGGGTCGTATAAACCTCAATGCTTCATTTCTTTCTTTAAGTTAATTTTCCAGAGAACTGACATAATACAAGTTAAGCTTTGTGCAGTCGAACTTGTATTAAACGGTCACTCATGGGGAATGATAAGGTAACCGCTCAATACGGTTAGGGGTTACTACAGAAAAACGATAAACAACGCCACCTTACGCCACTTAATGTTCAGAATCTCGCTCAAAAATACTACTTACAGTTTGATTTTGGGAAAAAACATGGTTCAAAAATTACTTGAAAGATTATTCTTAGTTTTATTTGAGTGGTTCGGCTTTAATTGACCGTTCAATACAGGTGAAAGATAAGAGAAAAAGGCCGTTTGGACTCAGCGAAGTGTAACGCGACCGCATAATAGAGGTGACCGTTTAATAGAAGCGAAAATTACAGTGATCAAGGAGAAACAAACTCGGGACTTTGGCAACCGACTGCTTAATACAGAATGGCCGCTTAATACGCTGCCACTTATTACAGGTGCGACTATATTCATTTCAAGAACAGAACTGATGATATTGACTCAGCAAGATATGAAATCCGCGTAATTTTCGTGATAAATCAATTTGTATACATATTTTTTCGCTTTTGTTTCAAGAGGCACACTTAAACAATGACTACGCATGAGATAAAACTATACGTATGTTCACTGTCAACTTAAAACGTACGTAATGTTTGACTTTTCTATAGAGAGGCGGAAAACCGAAACTGGCCGGTTTTTTCATCCAAGTTCGTAGTAGAAAAAGATTATCTTCGTTCTACACTAATGGCATACGCGAGTGAGGATCTTTCCAACTAGTTTCCAACTATTTTCTCAACAGATATTTAGGATATTTTTTTGCTTTGGAATCTTTGGTAATTTTGTAAAAGACCCTCTATAAGGAGATGAAGTGTCGAGGGTTCAAGTAAGATTTCCGCTCTCTAATTTTGACCCCAAAATCTCCCTCCCTAAGTTCTGTCTAATGCTACAAGTGGATTTTGGTTCAGGATTGAGTATAGTCGTCAAGTTCTCATCACTGAGCCTAAGTCAGCCTTTCAAACATCGCAGTTGAAGATTTTGTTAACCAGTGCGGAAATATCTGTCAGTATAAACATAGTGTTGAAGAGACTTTTTTTCAAATTGTGAACCCGACTAAGAATCCTAAGTTATCTTTGGAAAAGGGCTTGGTTACAATGTTCTACGAATCTAACAGCACGTAATATCAACAAAGAAAGATGTCTTTTGTTTTACTGTGGGAGTGGGAGAAAGAAAAGATCTTGTCTTCTAGCATATGGT